TTGTACTGAGGCCACCGTTCTCTGTGCCTGAGCACACACTGTTTGGAAGGCTGACCACGTCCTGGAGCCACGCAGCTGTATAGCCACGGCCGAGCTGGCTGGCAAGGACCTCAGGCAGCCTCTGGGAAGCTCACCGACTGTGCCCAACCTGGTCCTCTGCCCTGCCTCCTGTGCTGGCAGATCCAGCCTTACCTAATACGCAGTTCATTTTCCCAGCATTTCCCCTAGAAAATCTATGCCCATTCAACTCTTCAGAGTCTGCTTCTAGGGGGACCAGGCTAATACAGCACGTTATAAGAACTGGCTCTGGGTCTAGCTCACAAGTCACTGCTGCCTGCACCTGTATTAGGCCATGGGACAGCTAGGCTTATATAGTGTCTGACCTACTCTGATGCACGGAACTTGCACTATCCGCCCCCCCCCCCCCCCCGCTTCTTTTGATGAGAGAGAAAATTTCACTTTAAATAGAAAAAGTTGTGAGAGAAATTCAGCACACATTTTAGGAAAGGACTGAAACCCACCATCCCCCCCAAACCTCCTACACTGGGCATTCTGTGTCATAAAGCTGTTATTTTACAACACTGGCATTAGAGAGGTGGCACATGGCACTGGGCATACTCTAGTCAAGGTCTCCCCAGGAATCCCTGGCACCCCGAGAAGCCGTCACTGGACAACTGCTGAAGCACTTTCTGCTCACTCTGAACACCAACCCCTGCTGGCCTCCCTGTCTGTCTGGGATCAGATTTTGGGCCCAGCGCCCTAGGATCAGATAAACTGCAGTGTCAAACTCCAATGGGTTTCCTAGGAAACTGAGTGTTAATATGACCTGATATAATAAAGCAAGGCGGCTTTCAATAAATCCAACGTGAAAACAAGAGAACGTTGACTCCCTTACCCTAGATAATTTTGATAGTAGAAACACAAACAGAGTAGTTTCAGGAACTCTTAATGTTTTCAAGGGCCAGGAAGAAAAGTGTTCACTTAGGACAGCCACTGTAAAAGTTCTTTTTTCTTTGGTTACTTTTTAAAAACTTAATATGCCAGAGTTGTAAACTCCTTACAAATCCATGTTTATCCTGTTTTAACAGCTAAGATTAATCCTGGAGTAGGCAACCCGCAGAACAAATCAACGTCTAAAATATAAATCCCCCCTCCCCAAAGTTTCATTTTTAAAGTATTAGGAAATCTTACCTTACAGCGAAGACTGGATGGCGTCCTCCAGATCCCTGCAGGAGCAAGGAACCTGAGACCTTTGTGCCGAAGCAAGTCCCGTGCTTATTAAAGAATCCTGGGATTTGTAGTTCAGGTTCCGTCTTCAGTACTTAAGAGTTCAGTTTCGCTTGGTTTTCAAAAGGCGATAGGACAGTTCGTGCACTTTCTTTGTAAACGCGCTGCCACCTAGTGGAATCTGCGTAGAACTGTTGACTCCCATCCGTAGCGGGTTAAGCACCATATTGCAGTGCCGGATTCCGGTCTCAGTCTCAGCTACTCCACCTTTCCAGTCCAGTGGTACTCGCGATGTGCCTGGGAGGCAGCAAGTGAGTAGTTGGGTGTCTGCTGCCCACATGGGAGATTCAGAGGGAGTTCCTGGCCCCTGGGTTGGGGCCGGGTTTGTGGGCTTTTGGGTAGTGAATCAGTAGATGGAAGGCTGACACTGTTTTCTCTGTCACTAAATAAATCTTTAAAAATTGGAACAGCACCTTACAGCTTCCCTGGGGTGTGGGGATCATTGCTTCAGAGGTGATTGACTGAATGAGCTGGGCACTTGATGTGGGGTACACTAGAGCAACAAAACTGAAGGAACAGTCCAGGTCGTTAAAGTTTCAGGAGCTTTTCAGGCTGTGGACCTAGATTGTTTGGAAGCAGGGAAATGAAAATCCTCCTGTGTTGAAGGTATGGTGTTGGTGGCTGTTTTCTCATGCTCAGTCTGTCCTAACCCATTTAGTGACAGGAAGTAGGCTCCAGGAGGCTTGAAAGAGGAGAGCATGTTGGATAATGGCCAAAAGCCAGGTTCCGTTGAAGAGAACAAGGCAGGCCATGAAGATCCGTGAGCCCTCTCTGGGCAGGACTAACAATTCCTGCTTCAGTTGAGTGATTGTGAAGGCTGTTTGTCAATGTTAACTGGTTTACTCAATACCCATCCAGTTCACTTTCCTCGTGCCCTTTATGTGCTAATGTCTAGAGAACAGAACTCAGATTCCCAGCCTCCTTTAGAGATGGCAAGTCCTACAGACCTGGCCAGTGAATGGTAGGCTGTTTCCTGAGCATGGCTTCCATGCCCAACAGAAAGGTGCCGTCTCTCTGAAAGGCATTTGGCTTTAGCTCTCCCTTTCCTGATGGAAAGTGGATGGATGCCTTGGGCCTGTGCAGCCACTTTGAGAGTTTGGTCTGAGGTGAGAGGACACAAACAAGGACAGAGCAAGAGCTGGTTGAAGACACCCTCAAGGCCAGACTCTTGACAAGCTCCTCTGGACTTCCTGTGTGCGGCAGGTAAGCTTTTGCAGGCCGCTGCTTGTCAGTTGTTACCTGGATTTCTGATGGTTACAGTCGGGAGTGAGATAAGGGCAATTCCCACATCTCTCTCTCACTAGTTAGCTAAGCGAGTCACTTAGCTCCCTAAACTTCTCAGATTTCTCCACCTGTAAGAGGAAGGGGAAGAGCACCCACCTGGGGTTGCCGTGAGGAGGAAGGACTCCGCTTGTGACCCCATAGCACAATGTATGCCGCCATGGTAGCTATTATTATGGAAGACTTTGTCAAAGAAATTCAATTATAGCGGATGGTAGAAATTGCCTTTTTACAAAGCATGACAGTTTCTGCATGTGTTCACAAAAGGTCTGCACTAAGATTGCCCTTGCCTTTGCCGCTGTAGCTTCTACCATTGGGACTAATTCCCCCATGCACGCCTTGATTTATTAGCACCAGCCTTCCTTTGACATTTGAGGTGTTTGGAACAGACTTCTATGAACACTGAGAGCTCTCTCATGGAGGTTAGCTCCAATATTCCTTCTTTTTCCCCTTTAAAAATATTTCAAATAATACAAGAAGTGCAGAGTCCAATAAGCACCACAGATTTAATAATTTTTAACATTTTACCACATTCACTTGGTAGCAAAACATTATTCCTATACATACATTTTTATTTGCACTGTTTATTTTTCCCACTTTATTTGAAAGGCAGAGACAGAGGCAGAGATCTTCCATCCATTGGATCACTCCCCAAATGACTGCAACAGCCATGACTGGTCCAGCTCAAAGTCAAGAGCACAGAACTAAATCCACGTCTCACACAAGTGGCATGGATCCAAGGACTTGAGCCATCACCTGCTGTCTTCTAGGACGCACATTAGCCAGAAATTGGATTGGAAGTACAGGACCTGGAACTTGAACTAGGCACTGTAATACAGAATGTGGGCAACCCAAGTGGTGACTTAACTGCTGCACCAACCAAACAATGGTGTCTACTTTATTTTTGAAATCAGGGGTGGATATTTTAATATCACATCACATGTGATTCATGGCAGATTATGAGGGAAGAAAGGTATATTATTATATAAGGGTTATAAATCAATGAAAGATAACATTTATAAATATATATACTTAATATGACACTCAGTTTTACTATGTATATATTTATTATACATATTAACATTCATATATGAGAGAAAATGTGCTATATCTGTGTCTTTCTTATTTCACTCAGAATAATGATTTTTAATTCCATCCATTTTGTTGCAAATGTCAGGGACTTCATTCTTTTTCTGCCTAGGCAATATTCCATTATGTATATGTCACATTTCTTTATTCACTGATTCATTGACATCTTGGTATTCCATATTTTCACCACTGTAAATTGGACTGCTACAGATAAGGGAGTGCAGGTATTTCTTTCATATACTGGTTTCATTTCTTTAGAATATATTTCCAGAAGTGGGATAGCTGGGTCAAGTGGTAGGTATACTTTTAGTTTTTTGATTAATATCCATACTATTTTCCATAATGATGTACTAATTTGCATTCCCACTAACAGTGTACAATGGTTCCCTTTTCTCTGCAACCTCACCAACATTTGTTATTTCCTTTTGATAATAGCCATTCTAACTGGAGCGTGATAGTAACCTCACTGTGGCTTTGATTTGCATTTCTCTGATACTGGGACACTGAGGAAGTTTTTCATGTTTGGTGACCATTTGTATTTCTTTTCAAAAATGTTGATGTAGCATTCTTCAGTGATCTTCAGCAGTGATGCTGCTTCTAGAAGAGCCTGAGTCTTCTGGTGTTGCAAATCTTTGCTTACTCCTTTGTTTGCTACCAGATTAAATGTCTTCCAGGGTAGGGGCCATGTCTTCATGCCCTTACAATGTGAATAACTCATAAAAAGCATAGCAGCTATTTGCTTGCTTCCCCATCCATAATTTGAATTCCATATTGGCAGTACCTTTCAGTGCCTGAAACAGTATTTGGCACAAAGTAGATACAGAATGAATGGCAGGCTCTCAAGAAAATGTTTGCAACTTGTAGTTTCAGGTGTCAACGACTGGATTAAGATACATCCAGAGAGATGGCAAGGCGTTATTTCTGGCTGTGTCTGTGAGAGTGGCACTGGGGTCAGTGGTAAGGAAGATTCAGCTCACTCAATGCAAGCTGACACGTTCTCGTTGGTTGAAGGCATGAATAGAACAAAGGGGGCAGAGAAAAGGCAGGTTCTCTCTTGTGGCGGTGGGACACCCATCTTCTGCCCATGGACATTGGAACTCCAGGTTCTCTGGCCCTAGGACTTCAGAACTCAGATTAGTGACCCTGATGGATTCACAGGCTTATGGCCTCAAGCTGAGAGTCACACCATAGACTTCCCTGATTCTGAGGCTTTTGGACTTGGACTGAGCCACACTAATAGTTTCCATGGTTTCCCAGCTTGCAAATGGTCTGTTGTGGAACTTCTCAGACTCCATTACTGTGTAAGCCAATTCTAATAAATCCCTTTTGTTTATCTTGTCTTATTTGCCCCCCCCCCCCCCCCCCGGAACCCTTGACTAACATACTGTTGGCTTGTGAATACAATATTTTGGCTTCTCTGGTCTGATTTTAGTTTTGAAATCAATTTTAGTATTGTCTGACCACATTATTGCTTTTTAACACTCTTCTATTTTCATTAATGGTTTTCATCATCAGCCTTCCTGAGCTTTACTCCAGGACTTGGATATGGGATGTGGGCATCCCAAGTGCTGTGGATTAAGCTGCCATGCCACAATGACGTCCCCCAAAGATTTAAGTTTGATTTCATTTCAGGTTTTGCAGTTTCTTAGCTTTTGTAGGTTGCCAATATTTACACTGAATGTAATTTGCCTCACTTTTTGATTTAAAGGTGAAGATGTGCTCATAAAAAAATTCTTTGGGACAGGCCCTAAATATTTATATAATCTATAATCTCTGCCTTTGAATGAATCTTCTAAAAGTCAAGGATATCTTGAAATCACTAACTGTTCTGTAACTGTATGCAATTTACTATTTCAAGTGGCTTTTAAAAATCATCTGATATAAAATAAAAACCATAGTTTTTAAACTTTTATAGGGTTAGAGACTCCTCTGAGAATAGGATCAAAGCAATCTTAGACCGTAATATCCCAGAAGAATAAATCCACACACAGTACTTCACATATATTTCAGAAGTTTCACAGATCTCATGAAGCCCATCTATATACATGTCTTAGATAGCTGATGTCTTAGACCTGTGGTCTCCAGGTTTAGAATGGTAGAAACTGTAGTACTGTTTCCGCACATCAAAAAGGAAGAGTAGAATAAATAATCTCTGAGGTTCTTGCAGCTGGGAGTAACGCACATGGAGAACAAAGTCAGTAATAAACCAACCAAGTTGTCTTTGGCCATACCACCCTGAGTGTGTCTGATCTCATCTGATAAACCAACCAAGTGTGCTTATATAGAGAATGGGGTGGGTGGCTTAACAGAAAACATGAAACAATTTACAGTTATTAAATGTGAATAGCTACATTAATAAAACTGTATAGATTTTATGTCTCTGGAAGGACTGAAAATTTCCTTCAATAATTTTATTTTTTACAAACACATAAATAAATAAAAACAATTCAACTATTAAAAGTATTTCAACATACAAGAAGGAATTGCTATCATCACTCTAAATTATTGGAAGCATTAACTTTGTGTTCCTTCATCTCCAAACACTAGTGGTAAAGTGAAAACTAAAATTAAGTTGAATTATGACATCATTTCCAGGGATAGACATATAAAGTCATTTCCAAACCAGAAACGCTGAGACCCCAGAGAAATGACAGAAGAGGAGTCTGCTATTGAGTTCTGCACTCAGGCCCATCTTTCTCTGAGGAGGTGTGCCAGGGAGCTGGCTGAGGATCTACATTCTCTGTTCCCACAGTTTGTTCCTCTGAGAAAGAAAATAAAAAAAAAAAAACAAAATTAATGCTATTAAAAATATTCAAAAACCACACACATTTGGAAAGAGGAAGGTGTTAAGGAACAGGAAAGATGTAAGGAACGAAAAACAGCAACATAGTTGCATTATATTTGGTCATTAAAAAGGTGTATGTATGTCACCTCATCAGAGCTCCAGAACTTTAATCCCCTGTTTGAGAATGAATTGTTAGAAAAACCGTATTATACATTAACAGTATAAGCAGTATAGTTTTATTTGGGATTCATCTATTTGAGAGTCAAAATGAATCAAACATGAACTTATTTCAATTTTTCAAAACTGTTTTCAGTTGATTTTCTGTCTAGCTGATCTGTCCATTGATGAAAATGGGATGTTGAAGTCCCTTATTACTACTGTGCTGGAGTCTATGTCTCCCTTTAGATCCATTTACATTTGTTTTAAATAGCCAAGTACCCTGTAATGGGTGCATATATGTTTATTACAGCCACATCTTCTTGTTTAATTGATCCCTTAAACCTTATATAGTACCCTTCTTTGTCTCTTTGAAGCTTTTTTGTTCAAGTCTATTTTGTCTGATATTAGGATGGTTACACCTGCTGTTTTGTGCTTTCGGTTAGCCTGGAATATCTTTTTCCATTTTCACTTTCAGTCTGTGTGTATCTTTGTTCCCTGGCCATTGCTTAAACTCTTTCAAAGGCTTCCTCTACCTGCTTTTTCAAAAGTCCCATATGTTGTCTCTTGTCTCTGGTCTCACTGACTTCACCCACACAAGCCTGTTATCAGTGTGCTCAAGAAATACTACATCTCTCTCCATTCTTCTCCTGGCCATGGTTCCTCCTACTTGGAGGCTGTCAGTGTTCCATCTGTCCAAAGTACTTTTCCTTCCCTCTCTACAGTAAGCTAACACACATTACCCTTATAGATTTAAGTTCCCTTTCTCAAGGAATATTTCCTTAAAATTCCTAAAGCAAATACCTATTTTAAGCCTCATAATCTTCCTTTCATTGTTTTCTTACACTGCTGCCATTTTACTTATTGTTTCATTTTTACTACAGATGTTTCTTGACTTACAATGGGGTTTCACCCTCAAATCCTCATGAGTCTACCTTAAGTTGACAATATCTTAAATTCAAAGTGTATTTAATATACCTAACACACCCTTACTGAGCAAGGCCTATTTTACAATAGTGTTGAATATCTCATGTGTCATGCTGAATACTATACTGAAAGTGAAAATCAGAATGGCTATCATAGTATGCTTTCACATCATTGTTAACTGGGGACCATCTATACTTGATTATCATCTGGATCCTTTTAGATGGTAAACGCCAGGAAGGCAAGGACCATGTCTGCTTTTGCTTATCAATACACCATCAGGGTCTAATATCTACACATGGTAGGGGTTCAAACAGTTTTACTGATTGAATGAATTAAGTAAATGATGCAACTCTATGATCTGGCTTGTACAAAATGAATATGTTATCAGAAATACTAGCCTATTGAATTAGTAAGAATTTTTTTTTTAGCAAAAGTTGTTTTGTTTATAGGGTAGTATCTTTATTCCTTAAAAAGACTGCTATCTTTGGGGAAAGCTAAGAGTTTAAAGGGCAGAATGAAGACTTCACGTGGGATAAAGTGATCATACCTTCATTTCTATGCCTTTGAGAAATGGATTTCTTAAAAATGCTGAGTAAGCAACCTTGTATCCTGTAGCTTGCTCAGCTAAATCATTTCTTGTCTAAACTTGCCTTTTGGGACCATATGTGAAAAGTAAATTCCAATCCTCATCCCCTGATTTCCGAGTAACCATGTATTTACCTACCTGGGCAAAGGCCTAAACCCGAGTTATCAAAATAGCGAGCTGGATGAGGTGATGGTAAAGACTTTGATCTATTATCAAAAAACCAAGATTTTGGTGACTCTTTCGGCACAGGATCTTGTAAATTCCGCTCCTTGCATTGAGAAGCTATATTTGGTCTCCTTTTACAATCTGCTGCAATCACTTTTGGAGACTTCGGAGAATTTTCACAAGTCACATCTTTATGAGTCTCTCTCTTAAGTGTTCTTTCCTTCCAAATTTTGACCTCATTGTTAAGATGATGATTGTTGCTTAAATGTAAGGGGGGAAAAAGGGAAGATTATAAGACTGTTCAATTCTTGAAATGTATTCACATTCAATCCCCAAGGAAAAAAATTGTGGTTTTAATAGATACATAAGATAATATTTACTACTTTATCACATTGACACTTAATTTCAACCTAATTCTTCCCGTTTGAGCTATTCCATAGTTTGGGAAATGCAATGGGTCTATAAAAAACAAATAATAGGGGTAAAATTTTGTGATCACAGAGTCTTGAAAACAAAGTTCAAGGCAGGACATCTGAATTTGCAGTACCATGCAGAGTGGTTTATCTGTTGATACTTTATTGTAATAATTTGATACACTGGTCTTCTGGATAAACGATCTTTTTCTATTTTAAGAGAAATATCACACTGCTTTTCTGGGTTAAGTAGTTATAGTCTCACTGCTTAGAGGAAACACCACCAGCATTTATCTGTTTCCTCCAGAGAGAAATCTGGGAAGCACCCTACAGGCCTGCTTTGTTTTTATCTCTTCCAGGTGTGCTAATACCATCTCACACCTCTCTCTCAAATTGATTTCCTTACTGATACCATTTAAGTTTATGTTAAAATTATCGTTTGCCTAGACTACCACAGAGTTCCAAACTGGATTCTCCTACAATACTGTAGTGGTAAAGACATCAAATGGCTGAATGAGGCCCCAGTATAAAACTCTCAAGTATAGGTAATCCTCCCATTACATTTAGGATATCACCCAGATTCCTCAGAATGCCCACAGAGCCTGTGTAATCTGGAGCCAGTTATCCCTGGTATCCCACGTTGTACCTTGGTTTCACAGCCTACACACTGGCCACAGGGAATGCCTTTCAGGCCCACCAGCTGCTATTTTTGCTGACTCAAAGCCTGTGCATAGCTACATTCCCATGGCCCAGAAGCCTTCCCTCTTTTTTTCCATCCAATTTTCTATTCATTTGTCAGCTCTAGTCTTAGCTAGTAGTTTCTTGATCACCATCCCTCTACCTCCAACACCTAGATAAGGTTAGAGCCCTTTTTCATAACGGAATCTTTTCATAATGTCCTCTTAGGGTATTGTTTTTGTCTTGTTAAATTCCAATTTTATTTTATTGTTTTATTTTTTACTTACTGTAAAAAAGTAGTTATTTCTAAAATTACTTAACAGCTATTTTCTTTTCACTATAATATAGAATTCTTGGCACCAAGATTTTAATCATCCATGATGGTAGAAACTACATAAATCTGTCAGCCTTGTTTGTAAATCAAAAATAGGCTACAAAAATGGGCTTCTGGGGTTCTCTGAGTATACCTCACTGACCTGTGTTTCTGGACTTGCAATGTATTTCAGCTGCCACTCAAAGGTCTTTGTTTACTTTCTAGTTTTTGGCTGAGTTAAAAATATATCAGTTGGTAGAAAACAAACATTTGGAATGGTGCAAAAATATGTGCATGTATCCACCCCACCACATACAGACATAAGCATAATAAATGAGCAGATCTTTACCTTAATAGTTCATTCTTTTGCTTTATTAGATGTTCATTTTGCTTCTTTAACTTAGAAATTTCCTTTTCGAGCCTTATATATTCACTTTTCAAAATAAGTGCTTTTGTGCTTTGTACAATGCCACTGCCACCCCCACAGGTTAACGGTTTATTTGAAGGCTGGGAATCAATATGTTCTGAAATCACTGTGGGAGGCAAATACACGCATGGGGAGTAATTCAGTTAGCTCCAAAGTTCAAAATAATGGAAGCACCACTAAGTACAATAAGCACTATAACTCAGAAGACCTCAACCACCATTTTCCTGGAAGTCATCTTTGATTTCTGTCTTCTGCCTCATTTCCCCTGCCTATTCAATCATCAGTTCTAAATGTCTCCCACATATCTGGCTCACCAATATCTTTCACCTTGACGACAACCTTTCCCAGTTAGAACTGTCTTTTGTTGATCTAAGTTCCACATCAGTGTTCACCTGGGGCTCACGATGACACAGAGATCATGTGTCAACACCCTTTCATTCAGCCTAAGTACTGAACACATACTTGTTACACTTGATCTTAGCCCGAAGGCCAAGAAGCAATGCACACATACTTGTTAACTAAATATACCTTATAATATACTAAAGCATATACTAATGTACACATATCCACACTATATATATATATATATATATGTGTGTATATATATATATATATTAAAGCAACATAAAAGACTGTGTTTTGCAAAACGCAGGCAAAGTTGCATAAAAATGTCAGGTGCTTATAAAGTGAAATCATCTGTTGGATCACCAACAGTTCACAAAACAAGGCTTGGGCATTTGAGGGGAGAGATTCTCAGTGTCCATTTTATTTAGAATTCGGGTATAATTATTCATGTGCCTTAAGTTACCCAGAAATCAAAAGTAACATCCTGACTCTTCTGTAACAAAGTATCCTTGCTTGTATTTTCATCCCTTTAAGTTTTTCAGCCAGGAGCTATGATATCCTGCAGTAAGACACTTGCTAAGGTCAAGCTACAATAGGTCCTAGACAGCATGTTTAACATTATGTCTAACATTTTATAAATGAATGGGACAACAATACACACAAACATCACCTTACGTATTACTTAGCATTTAGAATTTTCAAAGTAAGTGCTTTCACAAATTTTGCTCTGATCCTTAACAACAAGTATATATATGAGAAGGTCAGGTGCTCTACCTTTGTTCTCAGGTAAGTGAGGGCAGTCAGTCTAGAAAAGTGTCCATTTTAGTTCAGTGCTTATTTTGTTATAAAGTTGCCCCAAGTACGGGTCAGCATTCACTTATTTTTACTGTGTACCAATCATCATCTATTAGTTGCATATGGTTACATATCTATTAAGACATGTTTGATTTTTATTGGGAAGGGCACTTCTGCCATAACAGTTAAGTCATTCTTTTATAGTGAACATTGTAATACGGAAACAGTTGATGATACAAAAGTAAAATTCATATTATTCAAGAATCTACGATGGATTACAGACAATAACTGAGATTACAGTAAATTGAAAAAACATTTTACAAAATATAATCACAATTAATTCATTCTAAAACAGATCGGTGGTTAACTAAGGTTTAGTCTTGAGTATCACATGTGTAATATAGGCTGAGCATCCCTTACATGCAAATTCGAAATCTAAAGTCTGGGATTTTTGAGCAGCAACATAACGCTCGAAAAGTTTAGGATTTTGAAGCACTTTAAATTGGGGATGTTCAACAGGTGAAACTTATGTGAATATTCCAAAATCCAAAATATTTGGAAATCTGATCCAACTGTGGTACCAAGCATTTAAGATAAAGGATAGTCATACTCAGTCAGTGGTAGTCTTCAATGTCTGTGCATTGAGAAGAAAAATGGAAAGGATCTGAAAATATGCATTTTCTACTTACTTGAGGTATCTTGGTCATGTTGATTTCTTCTAAGATTTTCTCTCAATACCCTTATAACTTCTTTTTGATATTCTACAGTGGCTTTTGTAGACTTAATTCTAGCAAGAACAATAATTAAAATATTAAAAGTCTAGAAACTAATGTACTATTTTTAAAAATTTTCCTTTTCATTTTATTTGAAAGGCAAAAAGAAACAGAGATACAGAGATCTTCCATCTGTTGGCTCACTCCCCAAATGCCCACAACAGCCAGGCCAAACCCAGGAGCCAGGAGTCCAGAACTCAATCTAGGCTGGTGTGGGTGGCAGCAACACAAGTATTCAAGCTATTATCTGCTGTTTCCCACAGTGTGCATCAACAGGAAGCTCTCTGACATCTGGGTGTCCCAAGTGGCAACCTAATGCTGTGCCAAATGCCTGCTCCCCAGCAACTACTTTTATACGGAGGAATAAATAGGACTACTGTTAAGAATTCCCTAACATGCTACATACAGACTGATGCAACCTCCATAAACCACAGTCGATGAGCCCTCAAAATATTTATCTGGTCTCATACCCTTGCTGGCTATAATGCCATCAAATGGAAATATTCTGTTTGGTTGCAGGGACATTCCAATTTTCTTAAGGCTGAGAATCATGTTCTTCCAAAATTTCTGGAAGTCTAAGAGCTATTAGTTAGGTACTCAATAAAATTTACAGGCTTCTAGAAACATAGTGAAGACAGAATTATCAGACCACGAAAGAGAAAAGTGGTTTCATTTCCACATTGTTATGAAATTAAATCCTGACTGTAACTCTGGTCTAAGGTGAGAGTCAAGAGTCTAATTCTGATCACTGTTATCCGGTAGAAAGAGACATTTTATAAACTGTTGGTTTAGGTACTAATGAGCAATGAGAAGCTGTTAAAAATTTTTTGCCTTTTTTCAATATTATGAATGTTTCTGCTGACTCTGTTAGCAAAACTGCTTTTTATAGACAAGGACCCAATGGATATAAGTTCTACTGAAACCAGTAGGCCTTAGCAATGGAAGGCTAGTTGACTGGTATGAAGATTCATGGAGTCCTACATTTTTGGCAGAATTAGAGTTCATCATTAAATAGTCATTTAAGATTTATAGCAAGAATGAAGTATTAGGAGATGGAAGACATTTTAACAATTCCTCTAATATAAATTTCTGCTTTTATTGATTATGGACCATTTTAATTTTTTTGTATATGACTGAGAAAAAAGCAAAGATATTGTTTGTCATAACTGTATTTTTTAGAACTTTACATATGTAATGTGATATATTTTTTAAAGCAAAAACAATATTTTCATGAATTGTATAGAAAGTTAACTAACTCAAAGAAACTTAGTTTAGGAAGGAAAGTTCAGCTATTAAATTCATATGCAATAAAAAGACATATTCTTTTGGGGCCAGCACTGTGGTGCAGTGGGTTAAAGCCCTGCCCTGAAGCACCGGCAACCCCATCTGGGTGCTGGTTCTAGTTCCGGCTGCTCCTCTTCTGATCCAGCTCTCTGCTATGGCCTTGGATAGCAGTAGAAAATGGCCCAACTCCTTGGGCCCCTGCACGTGCGTGGGGGACATGGAGGAAGTTCCTGGCTCCTGGCTTCGAATCAGTGCGGCTCCAGTCATTGTGGCCATTTAGGGAGTGAATCAGTGGATGGAAGACCTCTCTCTCTGTCTCTCTGTAACTCTGTCTTTCAAATAAATAAAATAAATCTTTAAAAAAGACATACTCTTTTTCAAATTCCTTGGCATTTTTCACATTCTCTAGGTCTATTTTCACCAGCTTTGTTTTGAGATCTTCAATTTCTTCTTTATAAGGTTTAGCTCCTAAAGCAACTTTATCCTAAATTAAAAAAAAAAAAAAAAAAAATTACTGGAGCAGTTTCAATTTCTCCAATTATAAAGAACAGTTACCTTCTTTACCTTTGATAAGAATATTTAAAAATGCAAACAACTCTAAATACTAAATATTTGAAAAACAGAAAGGTATAATAACAATTAGATATTTGATTTGAAGTATATTTAAGCTAATATGTAATTGGAGACATGATTTTTACTTCTTAAAACCATTTTTTTCTAATTAAAAAAGTAATATGAAATGAAACAAAAAAAAGTTGAAAATAGTAACATGGTGGACAAAGGAAAATCATGAAAACAAAACAAGAATATGTTGCAGCTTCAATGTAAACATAAAGCTAGAATTGAATTTGAACTACAAAGCATTATTGAAAACATTGAAAATATTTTTTACTGAAAGATACAACCCATTGATAAAAATATGTCTATTGTGCATTCTTGGGAGTGGAAAGTAGATCTAATGGCATGCAAACTGAAAACCATTTAAACTACTATTCTTTTTTTTTTTAATTTTTTATTTGATAGGCAGAGTTAGACAGTGAGAGAGAGAGAGACAGAGAGAAAGGTCCTCCCTCCATTGGTTCACCCCCCAAAACGGTTGCCATGGCCGGTGCGCTGTGCCGACCCAAAGCCAGGAGCCAGGTGCCTCATGCGGGTGCAGGGGTCCAAGCACTTGGGCCATCCTCCACTGCCTTCCTGGGCCACAGCAGAGAGCTGGACTGGAAGAAGAGCAACCAGGACCAGAACCTGGTGCCCATATGGAATGCTGGCGCCGCAGGCAGAGGATTAACCAAGTGAGCCACGGCGCTGGCCCCTAAACTACTATTCTTTCCAAACAAAATAGTTCAGATTTAGCCCAGAAGACATCAAGAAGCACTAGGTAATGGAGACCATAGATAGAAAAAAACAAAAACAAAAAAACAAAAAACAACAACAAAAAACAATAAAATGCACTTAATCTAATAGTGTTATATATTTAGGTAAGAAGCATTTTTTTAAATGAAAGAAATGGGCATTTTAAACTATAAAGAACATTTTTGTCTTGAAAAAGTACTTTTCTAGCATGATAATAATAATATTTTACATGAAGATATAGTCCAAGCAATTCATTTCTAAATCACTTTTTTTATATTTAGGCTTGAGTTTTGAACTTCAGACACAGGTAATAAAAAAAAAGGGAAAAACAGAGTACCAAATTATGTTTAATCTTAATAGGTTTTTTTCTTTTTTTAAAAAAATACTTTTATTTATAAAGTGAGTTTAAGTTACCTGAAGTATTTGAACCATTTCTTTTGTTTTTTCAAGGCATTTATTTGATTCATTAACTTTGGCTTGAAGTTTTGCTATTATTTCATTCGTCATGTCAAGTTCTTTCTGCATCTTTACAATTTTGCCTTCCTTATGTATAGCATTTTCTTTAGCTTCACGTAGTGAAGTTTCTAGCTCTTGAATTCTCTATTAAAAAAAGCACACATTCATTAGGTCAACCACGAGGAAAAAAGTACAGTACAGAAATCTGAGACAGATTATCTTATTTAATCTTTCACAGGTTACATTAAAAATGATAGGAAAGAATTCAGTCTATAGATATGTCATTTCTTTCACTTAGACTATGGTAATTTTTGGGTTAAAATTTACAAAATAAATAAATTTTTCTGCATAGGTGGAAAGAGCAGGGGTTACCTTATCTACTGGTCAGCACAATGCTGAGCATACTGAACAAGTGCTTACATTTTAAATTAATTCTGCTTAAAGAAAAGTATACTTGTTAACTGAAGTAATGCACGTGACATATCTTTTCCTTCAGTGTTATTAACTGGCTTTGAAATTAAAAAATATAAATAAGTGGAAAAAATTCAAAGGCATACAATGAAGAGTAAGTATCCTAACCTCAAACCCAAGTTGACTGTGAAGCAGTGATTACATTACTTTTTCAAGTGTATTCTTTCAGAAATTTCTATGTGTATCTAAGCATACCTGTACATAGTTCATAAAAACAGTAACAGTATCATACACAGTTCTGCTTTTTGTTAAAGACAACTGGACAGTATTTTTCCCACACCTATCCATTATTAACACATTCAGACTTTCACATTTTTTGTTTTCATAGGTACATGGCATCTCATTTCATGAGGTAGCTCAAATTACTTAACCAGTCATTTATAAATGAACATTGGGGCCATTTCCAGTCCTTTTTTTCCCCCAAAATAAGTTAACTTAGGATAAACTGAAATATCTGAATGTTTTCATGTGTATAAGATCATACATATATATACACTTCAAAGTTTTATGTGAAGTCTGTTTTGTTAAAAATAATTTATTTGAAAGGCAAAGAGAGAGCGAGCGAGCGAGCGACTACTCATCTGCTAGTTTACTCCACAAATGCTGCTAACAGCTGGGGCTGAGACAGGCTGAAGCCAGGATCTGGGAGCTCAATCCAGGTCTCCCATGTTTGTAGCAGGGACCCAATTACTCGAGCCATCACCTGCTGTCATCCGGTGTGTGCACTAGCAGGAAGCAGGCATGGGGAACAGAGCTGGGACTTGAACTCAGGTACTCTGATATCTGTGGGCATCCCATGCTGTGTGCTAACCACTATGCCAAATGCCCCAAAATCTGGTTTGTGTGTGTGTATTTCCCATCTAGAATTTACTTTTGTTTAACAGGTGAGATAAATCCCATATGGACACAATTCATTTCCTAGCTGCCCCACTTTTGATGCAGCTCGCTGTTGATGGCCTGGGAAAAGCAGTGGAAGGTAGCCCAAGTACTTGGGTCCCTGCCACCTATGTGGGAGACCCGGAAGAAGGTCCTGGTTCTGGCTGGGGCAGTCACAGCCATCTGGGGAGTGAACAAGTGGATGAAAGATTTTTATAGGTCTCTCCCTCTCTGTAAGTCTGACTTTCAAATCAATCAATCAATCAATCAATCAATAAAGAATTACTTTTCTCCAGATGGCTAGACTGTTTCAAATACTGCATTTTGCCCCACTGATTGGATGTTACTGTTTTCCTATATTAAATTCTCATACTTCAGTGGCTGATCTCCTGAACCCTGTATTCTTATTCCCACATCATTATCTGATTATTTGGATATTTTATTATGTTAGGATTTTCTTGGGTCTCTGAAGATGAAATTTCATCTGCTGCTCTAAATTATTGATTTCGCAGACGGGTTTCATCTTTTCTCTATTTTACCTCTACCAGCTGACTACGTTCTGTAATGATCAGCAAATCAAAACAAAACAAAGCTGTACACTGGTGATCTTCTAGTTTCCACTGGTGGTTAATTATTCAACCAGTGGCTGATGTTTCATTATATTTATCTTGGTAAAAATCATAAATTTCAACTTACTCTTAGGTTCCCCACTAAGTCCTTTTGTGTGCTAATAAAATAAAGTAGCATATTCACTCATGTTACAGATTCCCATGTAAGGGCAGTTAATAAAGCAATGGGTTATTAAATACATTCAATTCAGTACTACAATTTTGCTCTGAACTCTGTGAGGAAGCTATAAATCAGAAACCACCTTATAAGAAATTATATACCTCTGTGCTTAGTCGTGTAGCTCTTGATGTAACATGAGGATTCTTATTATCTTGTGTAATAGGGTTTATATGGGTGTCAGATGCCAAGGTGACCTTCAAAGTCTGGTAGTCTTTAAACAGTTTTTTATTTTTATCCTTCATTGATTTCAGGTCATGCTCCCACTGTTTAGATACAGTAGCAGTTCTTTCTTCAAACTCTGTTGATTCATTTATTACAGCCTGTTGAACAGTAAAACATAACTCTAGCTATAAAATGATTCATATATAAAAAAAGCTAAGAATAATTGTAAGACAATGTGTATGCTGAAATTTGTTAGTTAGAACATCCTAGTACAGCACTTTAGAATAATGTGAACATTGGGGTTCCAAGATGGTGGAATTGGAACAGGGCAGTCTGATTTATGCTGGGCGAAACTGGTGTTGGAAGAGTGGAGAGGGTGCACTCTCAGGGTCAAGCTACAAGGGAGCTCTGGTAGGAGATCCTGTGAAGGCTGTGGAAATGGCCTGGACCTGTGCAGGGGGAGCAGATACTCAGCTTGGATCCTCTGCTGATACAGTGGGAGGGAGAGCTTAGTGAATTGCACCTTTTAGAGTCATACCCAGATCCCCAAGACAGCAGGGCATCCACTCATCCAGAGGTGGGGGAAAAATAAAGAAGCATGTCTCATTCCCTTCCCCGCCCTCCCTGCTACAACTGAGACCTGCAGCCAGCAGTGGGAGGGCTAGTGCCATTTTTGGACACAGGCAGGTAGTGGCTGCCCCTACTTCCTGTGCATGCACGCAGCAATTGTTCGGTTCACCCTCCACCCAAGCGGTAACCACAGCAGTTCAGGAAAAACTAAGGGAGATTGCCTCCACTGAACCGGTTGTACCCACTGGCAATGGGAGGGGAGGAGGAGCCATCCCCATGGAAGGGAAGTGCCACCTGTGGGACTTCCCTACATGCCCAGCACATTTGGAAAGCAAGCGGGTCTGCACTGGGTGGGTATTTTGCATGCCTGCAAACCACAGATATAACCAGAGAGAAAAAGCCGTGTTCCCCACTGACATCGAACCTGGTTCAGAGGACCAGACTCGATCCAGCAGGCTGAAATACACACAGACAGCTGCTCTGGGAACACCTTAGTTTCCTTGTAGATAGGACAAGCTAGCAGGGTAGAGTGGCCCCACTGGCACTCCTGGACCCTGAGAGCCCTGGAGCTGAGACTGAGAAAACACTGTGACTGCATGAGAGGAGGCAGGGTGTGGCTGGGTTCTAGGCAACCACAGAGAGCTTCCTCACACTCTCAGAGCTCTTTGGTTACCTGCACCAGCTCATAGCAGAGGGAATTGTGCTCACAGGAAGGACTCCACGGATCATATGTGTGGTTTGTACAACGGTGTGGATGAGTGTTAAGCACACTGGGGACTAACACCTGGACGTCCTCAGCTCTGAGGAGAAGGGGTGGTCGCACCAACAGAGGTGACAATTCCTTTCCATCCAGTTAATCAGAGGAGAGATACCACACCCAACTAGGGTGTTACCCTGGATACTTGCCCCATCCTGGTACTGAACAGAGCTCCCTGGTCATATCTACCACACACCTCTTGGTATTCACTGGAAGTATAGATGTACCACTAAGCAACAAAAGCACAGATGAAAGATAAAAGCCATCAGACAAAAACATTTTTACCAATGCCTAAAAATAAATGCAGAAATTCCAGAATAGAGAATAAGTAAGGCATGATGAGTCCCCCAAAGGAACACTATAACATTTCAATATTAGAATGTGAAGATGAAGATTGAGGAAATGCTGGAAATGGAATTAAAAAAATTAATCATCAGATTTCTCAAAGGCAACCAACCAGAAGCAAATCCACAAACTAAAGAAAGCCATATATGGATAACAATTTTTCCCATGAAATTGAGATCTTAAAGAGAAATGAAAATTAAATACTAGAAATGAAGAATTCAATAGATCAAATAAAAAATACAGCAGAAAGCCTTAACAACAGAGTGGGTGAGGCAGAAGAAAGACTATTGGAACTAGAAGATAAATCTATGAAAATTTTACAGTCAGACCAAAAATAAGAAGAAATTAGGAGACTAAAAAACAGTGTTGGAGATATGTGGGATACTATCAAACAACCCACCATCTGGGTCTTAGGAGTGCCTGGAGGTGTGGAAAGAGAGAAGGGCTAGTGGGCATGCTAAGTGAAAATTACAGAAAACTTCCCTAACTTGGAGAAAGAAAGGAACGTCCAAGTACAGGAAGAACACAGAACCTGTAACAGATATGAACAGAAAAGGACTTCACCATAACACACTGTAATCAGACTTTCCATAGTAAAGCATAAAGAAAGGATTTTAAAATGTGCATGAGAGAAAGCCAGATTACCTTCTAAGTCACCTTAGACTCACAGGTGATTTCTCATCAGAAACCCTACAGGCTAGAAGACTATGGCAAAATATAGTCCAAATCTTAAGAGAAAGAAAAACTGTCAACACAGAATACTTTACCCCACAAAGCTCTCATTTATAAATGAAGGTGAAATAAAGACCTTCTGTAACAAGGAGAACCACTTGTCCAGCCTTACAAAAGATGCTTACAGATGTGCAATACACAGAAACACAGAAAGAAAGCCATCATCATGAAAGAATGTGAAGACAGAAAACCTCCCATTGAAAATACAAAACAAATCCAGAGCAAATGATAGGAACGTTCCTGAAAATATGGCAGGGCAATCAAAGCCAAAATTAACAAGTGGGATTACATCAAATTAGGAAGCTTCTGGACTGCAAAATAAACACTTAGCAAAGTGAAGAGCAACCAACAGAATGGAAGAAAATATTTGCAAACTATGAAACTGACCAAGGATTAATAGCTAGAATCTAAAAAGAGTTCAAGAAACTCAACAACCACAAAACAAACAATCTAGTCAAGAAACGAGCAAAGGATCTGAACAGACATTTTTCAAGAGAGGAAATTCAAATGGCCAATAGACACATGAAAAAATGCTCATGCTCACTAGCCATCAGGGAAGTGCAAATCAAAAGCATAATGAGGTTTCACCTCACCCCTGTTAGAATGGCTCTCACACAGAAATCAACAAGCAACAAATGCTGGTAAAGATGTGGGGAGAAGGGTATCTTAATCCACTGTTGCTGGGAATGTAAACTGGTACATCCAATGTGGAAGACAATATGGAGATATCTCAGAAAGCTGAATACAGACCTACCATATGACCCAGCCATCCCACACCTGGGAATTTATCCAAAGGAAATGAAATCAGCATATAAAAGAGTGATCTGTACCTCCATGTTGATCCCTGATCAATTTACAACAGCTAACATATGGAATCAACTCAGATGTCCATCAATTGAAGACTGGATAAAGAAATTATGGTATGTATACACTATGGAATACTGCAAAGCAGTTAAAAAAAAAAACAAAACCGAGATCCTTTCATTTGTAAGAAAATGAATGCAACTGGAAACCATTACACTTAGTGAAAACAAGCCAGTCACCATAAGACAAATATCATATGGTCTCTCTGATCTGTGGTAACTAACAGAGTATCTAAAATGTAATCTATAGGAGCAAAACTAACACTTTGAGATGTGATGATTTTGAACAGCCCTTGTCTTGACTGTTGAACAGTTTTTTTTGTTTGTTTGTTTGTTTGATTTTATTTTTTCCTTCATTCTATCCAGTGAACTCTCTATTTAGTATAAGGTTAATTTGATGAATATAAAAATTAACTGAAAAAGTTATCTCTGTACAAAAATAAGAATGGGAAAAGAAGAGGGAGGAGAAAGAAAGGTGGGAGGGAGGCAGGCAGGGGGGGAAGAATCACCATGTTCCCAAATCTGTATATATTAAGTGCATGAAGTTATATTCCTTGAACAAAAACAAAAACAAAAACAAAAGAATGTGAACTTTTTTTTTTTTTTTGGTGCTTTGCATCGATGCTGGATATCAATAATCACAAGAATAAGGACTGGCAAGGATTTACACTGATCTGGAGGATAATCTCAATTGATAAGATTAATACTAGCATATGGAGAACTGAAGAACTGTCCAGGTTCAAATCATTATATACTTCATGGCTGATAATGAAACATTGCATCTAACAGCAGAGCATAGCTAGTAAACTCAACCATTATCTATTCCTGCTTCATTCCAAACTTCAGTGTTTAAGGGAAAACAGCAGCTCACTGACTTTTAGTAATTAATCTGGCGATCTTTATTTCTGTGCAGGGAATAACGGTCAATGAGCACTTTTTTTACTTCCTAATTCTGGTGGGATGTACCTAACGTTCACTGCAAGTGTCTTACTTGTCTCATCCGTAATTATCTTTGTGACCTGACATAGCTATACCAGGCCTGCCTGAGGATACCTGGGGAAAGGGCTCAGTTCATATAAAACAATGAGAAGGAGCAGGGAAAGAGAATAAGAGGATTCAGTGGAAACTGCGTATTACACACCAATATGGTTAAATTGATAAACTTAATTATCTTAAGAGAGCACAATACACTAAAGAATAGGTTTTACAAAAATCAGCTATTTCTACAGAGCATATATAAACAAATTAAATACCCTTAAATTAAGTCATGCTAAGCCCTCTGAAGAATGAGACAGAAAAATCAAACCAAACAGAAAGAATGAGGCACAATAAAAATCAATACTTACAATTATTTTATTATTATAGAAGTTATTTACTTGACAAATGCTATCATTTTCTTTCTGGATGCCACTTTTAAGCTTTTCTTCATCGAAGTAAGTATTTAACCACTCTTCTAAAAACTGAGTCATTTCTTTCCTATTACTTAATATTTGTTGAAATTCAGCCTTTATGCTAGGGAAGTCATTTTCTGAGAAATCCTTGAGAATTTCCTGTGTGAAAAATAGACATCGAATCGCCTAAAAATTAAGGAAATTTCTATCCAAGTATCATACAAATATCAGAAAAGGGGAAAATATCTACTGGATTCTTAGTATTCTGATTTCACAGTAGACTAAGAAATACAATTTTAATTTAACACTTCATTCTAACTATTATCACAATATAATTTTAGCAGTATATGTAATAGGAGTACATTTATAAATTCTGTTAGAGTTAAACCTTGTCAAAATGAAAAATATGTGACTTACTATCACAATCAATAAAGGCTTCTGGAGGAACGTTTTCTACTGCATACAGAAGGTCTTACATCTATGTTGGGAATTGGATGCCAGCCTTATGTTGCTGGCTGACAGCAAGACATTCTATGTGGAATTGGTAGAATAAAAAGGTTTCTGACTTCCAGTCACAGATGGACAAAGTTTTAGGAGGCATCTATAAATTTATTCTGGGGTTCCAAGAACTCCCACTTGCTAATGTTAAATGTGTTTTTCTGTGTTCGTGGAGGTCTGAAGAGCTGGCAATCCATTACTTGGCAGTCTTTATTTATATCTGGCCAGTTCTCACTCTGTCATCTAGTTTTCATTTCTGGTCAATGATAATGGCTTTCAGTACATGGAAACGTTTTTTTCTATGTGACATAAAAGCTTAAAATCTAATTAGATTTCTTTAAAATAAATTATACCTCAATATGTAGATCCAGATTCTGGTTCAATTTGAGGATCCTTACGTCTTTGGATGGGACATCATAATCTTGTTGAAGATGCTGTATTTTTATTAGCAACTCATTGTGCTTTTCCACTTCATCAATAAAAGCCATTTCAAATCTATTGGTGGATTCATGTTGTTCTTCTTTTATCTTTGTAACATGGCTTAACACATACTTGCAAAAAAATAAATCAAGCAAATTAGAAGATGAAAGTTTCATCACAATAACAGGATGTTTTAGCCAGGTGGAGATCATGAAGTAAAACAAGGTCTTTCATTTTTCAGTATCCTCCGTGAAGTGGGGAAGACTTTCCCCTCTTAGCATCTTGAGAGAATAAATTCCAGATCTCAACTTCTATATTTTTGATTTTCTACTGGGTGTTTCTCCAGTTGAAAATTCAGTGCCTCCCCCTTTTCCTACCAACTTCCCTTTTACTATTGTTCTTTTTTATTGTTGTTAACTATACTGCTGATCACAGAGGTTTCCTACATAGACACCAGAGATTCATTTTCAACATCCTCTTTTGCTGACTGTGACTTGGTAACTGATAAAAAAAGGGTTACCTGCTTCAAGATTTCCTAGCCAAACATATTTAGGTGTTCAAGGTGACAATAATTTCAACGTCATGTGTTCATGGATCTCATGAGTAATTTCTGGGTATCTGACTGCCACACTGTACAAAAGAATCGTCAGGTCCTGAGGGGCTATCTATTTAGGTGAGGCAGGTATCTGTTTCCTATTTTTTCAACTTCCACCATCCCTTAACCTCTTATAATCTGGTCTCTTCCATAACCACTCATCTAAAATTGTTCTGGCAATGGTCACCAATGAGCCTGTTTATCACCAGATGGAGGGGCTATCTTCAGTCCATTATCTAGATTTCTGAAACATCTGCCACTCCTGGCCACTTCTTCTTTGACATACTCTACTCTATGGAGAGCACTTGCTTGGTTCCCTCATCTCTTTGCATTTTCTAACCTTGAACTCAAGTGTTGTTTCCTTTCTGCTCTGCCTCTTGGACATTAATCTTGGTCTGAAATTCTCTTCTTACCCCAAGGCTCTTATGCTTCTGTTACGTATGTCACTAATATGTGTTCTATTACCTGTCATCTGCATGCTGATAAATCCCAGATCTTAGCCCTGATTTTTCTCCTGCCAAATGTGACTCACATCTAAATGCCTCATTTTGTTTTCTTGGATGTTTCATCATGGGTTTTCTCACCACAAAATTATCTCAAGCTAAACACCTGATTTCTCCTGCCTTACCCACCTTTCTTCACTTCCTTTTTTTCTTTATTTCTCTTAATGGTACTACAATCTAAAATTTTAGTTAAGCACAAATCTTAGGACTCAACCTCTCTCCCTTTCCTACATTATCAAGCACAAGTCAGGCCACTACAATATTTAAGCCACTAAATATTTCCCAAATCCCTTTTGCCCTCTCCATGTCTATGAAGCTTTCTCTAGTGCCATAGTCACACATAATGTTATCTGAACCACTTAACTGCCTCTTGCCTCTGCCACTAGGTTTATCTCCCTCAAACTCATTTCTCCTTTATTTTGTAGTGAAGCACTTAAATGGCAACCTGATCCTGTTACTACCACCATGGAGAGTTAACTATCCATAAGCCATTATGTACCAAATGAACTCTAACCTGAACTGGTCACATTCTGGCTTCCATCATAGTACTCATCTTCTGCAATTTCTTATCTGGTATATCATGCGGATAAAACCCAAAAATACCTCTGTCACACACTATACTACCTGTTTATATGTCTGCCTCATCCACTGGTTATGAGATCTTTTACCATAGTGCTTGTATTAAACACCATGACACAATTTCTGAACCCCTCAGCAGAGCTCAGATTTTGCTGAACAAATGGGTATAAGATGCTCAGAGAATCTTGCTCATACTATTCTCAGAACCATGTAATCTTTGGTACTAAGTACATTAAATAGAGGTATGCCAATTCCCAAAGCAGGACTTAAATATGTTGATGTTTGAAACTGAAATGTATAGCATATTTACAGGTATATTATTAAAAGAAGGAGGTACCTTAAGTTTCTTCATGATTCTATGGAATTCCATGGAACATCTCTGGTTTGCAGTAAGAAGTTTTTGAATCTGTTTGGCTTGTGGATATGGAAGTGCCAGGTTTGCTTTTACTCTAATTGAAAGCTCTTTTTGGGTTTCAATTTCCTTCTCCAAATCAAAAGACATTCTATTCAAGTACTCATAATGATTCTCCATTTCTGAGTATCCTTTTAGAAGCTCCTAAAGGAAATTAGAATCCATTCAATGTAATAATTCATTCTAATTTAACAATAACTAGTTCTAACCCTAGAATTGTAATGAAACTTAAACAATTTTGGTGAGCAATAAATAAATTAAGATCTTTGTGGTTTTTTTTTAAAGGGGAAACTGTAATTGATTTTGAATTATAGAAATAATATATAATTATTGTGGAAATTTAAAAAGTTTAAGCAAATACAACAAAAGAAAACCAGAAACAATCATTATCATTTAGATGCTGTTTCTTTCAGTCTTTTGAACATCCAGGATCTGAATGAGCTCTGACCAAGTCCGAAGAGAAATCTGGGTGAATTCAATCTGCTGTGTATAGTAGCTTCTATATAGTTATTGAGGGCTGTGTGAGTGAGTAAATTAAATAAGAGAAAAAGATTCAAACTGTATACCCGTCAGCTTGGTATAGCCGCTTCACTGCTATTGTTTGCGTGGCTGTTTTCTATCCCTGTATCAGAGCTGGCCGTTAGGACTTAACTATTTCACTTTTTCACTGGGGAAATCACTGAGCTGTTTTCTCAATGACAGTAATTGCCACAAAACTTTTTAGGGGATCAAATAAAATGTGTAATGTATGTGCAATATTAAAAGCGGTATAGACACTACAGCTTGAAGGAAATAAAACTGTATAAATGTTTCTGTATCTGTTTGTGTCCAAATTCATATTCTGCCAATTTACAAGCTGTGTAACCTTGGGCAACTGCTGAACAAGTTCTCTGAGCCTCAGATTCACTGTTTACAAATGGAGCAATAAAATCCATCTCATGAGGGAAACCAACTGGCATATGGTAGACAGGCACTAAGTCTGGGCTTTATGCTTGAATGACCAAGCAGGTGGTATCCTGGTCAGAGCACAGGTAGAAGAACATGTTAAGTTCAAGTTGCTGCAACTGTGTAGTAAGTGATAGGTTTAGTCCAAGGAGCTAACCAGCAGAAGAAATAGTTTCTGTTTTCAGTAAGTTAAGTAAAAACTAGATGCTGGTCTATGTTGGAAGGGATTCTGGTCTTTGATCTTCAGGTGAGTCACCTTACAGTATGGAGGAGCCTCTGGAATAATGACTGCTGTCAGGAATGCTAAGTGATACAGTCAACAATCCAAACACATCCTTAGGGATCATGTAGTCTAGCAAGGGTCACAGTAAATCCTGTCCTTACCTTTGGAAACTGGGTACTTCTCACTATTCCCATGGCTACCTGTGTGTGCCAAGCCACCACTGCTTCTGCCTGGATTATTGAAACTGATCTTTTAAATGGTCTTCCTGCTTCCACTCTATTTTCAATGCAATAGTCAGTAGCCTCTTAAAATGTAAGGTAGAGTACGTCTCTCATCTCCATGGATCTCCATCCCCTCCCCTATTACTTCAACGTCCTCTGAAGGCCCCACAGCCTGCCTCCTCCCATTAACTCTCTGATCTCCTTTCTTAGCTTCCCCGCTGCCAGGCAGGATGACATTCCAGGAGCACTGGACTCACTATTTCCTCTATCTGTGATGTGCCAGACACCAGAATGGCTCAGTCGCTTACCTCTTTCAGGTAAAATCAGACTCCCATTGCTTTGTTCGTATATGTAAATAAATATGCACACCCTTAATACCTGAACCAGATATTATTTAGAAAAATACTGAGCACTATTTACTTGTTCCACAGAGGTTCCTTCGATTCCATTTCAGGCTTCAAAAAGCTTTTGGAAAGATTCTAATATTCATATGCTATTTTCACATGGGGCACTTACTTTTATCCTAAAGCATTTTTCTCTCAGGCTTTCTGTAGGGTGGTGTTGTCCATCAGCCATTAACACTTTCTCATGTTCTACTAGCTCTTTGCTGTTCTGTTGGTCCTGGTGTGGTACAAGAAATACACAGGGTTTCAGCTATAATTATATTCACATATAATATGTAACCAAATACTCAATTACATTTTATATCATTTCAGTAGTAAATGCAATATCACATTTTTAACTCAAATACAATGTTAAGATGCTCAGAAAAAATTCTGATGAGTGAAATTAAAAAATTCACTCACTGGGGGGCATGGTAGGAGGAAGAAGTAGGAGAATCGTATATATTTTAGAGGTATGATCCCTTCTTTGTAATTGCTAATAAGTTTTAGATTTATTTCTGGTTTCTTTTCTTCAAACAAAATCTCTGCATTAGAGTTACTGCTACCAACTAAATACTCTAGCAAAAACATCTGGCTTTCTATAGCATCCCAAGCCCTATTCATATATATTCTTTCCATCATGCTGGAACAGGAAATTCATTTACTGTTTATAGTTTGCATTTCAGATCAAAAGTACGAAACATTTTCTCTCACTTGCTTATATTGTTCACCACAGTACCTAGAAGAATGATTGACTGTCAATAGGTATTAGTTGAATGAATTAAATCTGTTTATAGATTTAATTAGGGTTGATATAAAGATGATTCCCAAGGGTTAGGTATTTCTGTTGAGACTGCAAAATATTATTTTTCAAATATGGAAATGAAAGACTTTCACAAGATTTCATACAGCTATTGTCTGAACTTTCTGTTATTTTTTAGAGGATTCAATTAGGTTTAAGACATAGTGGGGCCAGTGTTGTGGCATAGCATGTTAAGTTACCACCTGCAATACTGACATCCCAGGTGGGTGCCAGTTTGAATCCTGGCTGCTGTGCTTCAGATCCAGCTCCCTGTGCCTGGGAAAGCAGGGTAGGATGGCCCAAGTTTGGGTCTTTGCACTCATGTGGGAGACCCAAATGAAGCACATGGCTCCAGGCTTCGGCCTGACCTAGCCCTGGCCATTGCGGCCATCTTTGGAAGTGAACTAGTGGATGGAAGGTGTCTCTCGTCTCTCCCTCTCTTTATGACTCTGAATTTCAAAATAAATATAAATCTCAGAAAAAAGTTTAAAAACATAGTATTAAGGGAAACAGTTTGCTTTAACATCGTTCTTAAAGATGAAAATTAAACTGTATTTTCTGAAAAACTGACTTTTTAAAATTGGTTCTTATTGTGTGAAAATTACAGTTTTCTCACTATCCTTTATTAGTTGTAGAAGCTTCAAGAAACAATCATTATCATTATTATTTGCAAAGTTTGATTCTTATAACTAGTTACTAGATAAGTGAAGATTCTGAACTCACTCCAGCTATCATTTTTTTAATGATTTCTCTGTATTGGTCTCTTTCCATTTTGAGAGACTCTTTTATCCTCCTCAGCTCAATGCTTTCCTTAGCTATGGTTCTGCTTTCTTCGAGGTTTTCATAAGGTTTCTTAGTGAAGTGCAAGTTATCCTTATCCACACTTTGCACAGATAAACTCTGAGCCTCGTATTGCTTCTTCAACTGTTCCATTTCACTCATTTTTTTATGAGTGTTACTAACATCGTCTTTCATTTTAAGAAGTTGAAGTTCTTTTTTCTGAAGTTCTTGAATCTTGAGAAAATTATAAAACAAATTAGAATGCAAATAGAATTCTTTCAGGGAAGAAACATAGAGTGTATTTGTTAGTGTATACATAAACACAGGTTGAATATTCCTTAAAGGAAATATTTGGGACCAAGAATATTTCAGATCTTGGGTATTTTTGGATTTTGGAATATTTGCACAGCTTGCATTGGTTGAACATTCCTAATCTGAAAATTTGAAATCTGAAAGTTTTTGAGCATGATGTTCTTGCTCTTAAAAAGTTTCAAATTTCAGATTTTTGGATTAAGGCTATTCAACTTGTATTTGTATTTATATGTCTATATCCTTTCTCATTCCACAGGTAATTCTGGACACAGTTATTCCCAAAAGAAGAACAAAACAATACGTACCTTTTTCTGCAATTCATCGTTTGATTTATCTAAATCCCTCTGAATATTTGAAATCTGAGTTGTCCTTTCTGAAAATTTCTCTTTTAATTTACCAATAGTTTCTTGCTGATCTTTCAAATGCATATGAGCAACTTTTAGTTCCTCTTTTGTTGCCAGATCCTTTATTTTTAGAAGAAAAAGAAAAATGCTAGGATATAAAGGCATATCAGCTTTTCTTAATCATTAGCTTAAACCAAATCTTAAACATGTGGGCTCCATTAAAAACAACCATTTCATTACCACAAAATGATAAAGTGCAGAAAGGATATCCAAGTGCACATTCCTGCCCCTATCTTTCCTGTCTTTGTCCTGCACCCTGTGGAACTGTGCCACTTGCTTTTCTCCTACTACTGCCTGACCCCCCCCCCCCCCCCCCCCCCCGCCAAGATTTATTTGAAAAAGGCAAAGTTACAAAGAGACAGGGAGACACAGAGATGTTACATCTGCTGGTTTACTACCCAAGTGGTCACAGTGGCCGGGGCTGGGCCAGGCCAAAGTCAGAAGCCTGTAGCTTCTTCTAGGTTTCCCCTCATGTGTACAGGGGCCCAAGAACTTGGATCATCTTCTGCTGCTTTCCCAGGTGCATTAGTAGGGAGTTGGATTGGCAATGGAAGAGCTAGGACTCAAACCAGCACCTATATGGGATGCTGGCATTACAGAGGGCATCTTAACCCTCTATATCACAGTGCCAGAGCCCTGACAACTTTCTAAAACGGCACTGCATAAAGAGTACTCCATTCTTATGCTTAACATTTTGTTATGCAGATGAACCCCTGTAACTGCCTTATTGGTGGATACTTGGACTGCTTCTAGATTTTGGTCATCCTAAACAATGCTGCAGTGAACTCTTGTATTTTTGCCCAAATGTGTGACTATAGTATTAGGATAAATTCATAGAACTGGAATTGCTGTTCCAAATGTAAATGCTGATACATTTTAGAAAAGATATCGTTAAAACTGTCCCACTCGAAGGTTGCAACATTCACTTTCTCACCAACAATATTTACAGAGCCCAGCATTTTATATTAAAAGTAGTAGGTTGGCCGGTGCTGCAGCTCACTAGGCTAATCCTCTGCCTGCAGTGCCGGCACCCCAGGTTCTAGTCCCAGTTGGGGCGCCGGATTCTGTCCCAGTTGCCTCTCCTCAGTCCAGCTCTCTGCTGTGGCCCGGGAAGGCAGTGGAGGATGGTCCAAGTGCTTGGGCCCTGTACCCACATGGGAGACCAGGAGAAGCACCTGGCTCCTGGCTTCAGATCGGCGCAGCGCGCTGGCTGTATCGGCCATTTGGGGGGTGAACCAACGGAAAAAGGAAGACCTTTCTCTCTGTCTCTCTCTCTCTTACCGTCTAACTCTGCCTGTCAAAAATAAAAAAAAAAAAAATAAAAAAATTAAAAAAAAAATCGCCATACTGTTTTCCACCATGGCTGTAGCCCTAGCCAGCATTTAGTGCATCTACAACCAACTTATCTTTGACAAAGGAGCTAAAATCAATCCCTGGAGCAAGGACAGTCTGTTTTGGGAGACTATGAGGAAGCACCTGGCTCCTGGCTTTGCATTGGTGCAGCACGCTGGCTATAACGGCCATTTGAGTGGTGACCCAATGGAAAGAAGACCTTTCTCTCTAACTCTGTCGAAAAAAAAAATAGTAAAATAGTAGTGGGTTTACAGGGTATGAAGAAGGAACACAACTCACTCTAGCTATGGTTTCCTGTAGGTTTTCTTTGAGTTGATCTCTCTCCAGTTTGAGATTCTCCTCCATTCTCTTTAAATCATCTCTTTCTTTCATTACAGATTTCATTTCTTCAAGGTTTTCATGAAGTTTTTGGGCCAAATTTAAATTCTCCATTTCTATTTTATTGAGAGTTAAACTTTGGTTCTTGAGTTGTTTTTGCATCTCACTGATACCTTCTTTTAACTTAAAAAGTTGATGGTCACTTGTCTTAAGTTCTTGAATCTTAAGATAATCATAAAATAATATGTTAGGATACAGATTATTTTTAGGCAAGGATAAGTAATAGTTTTTAAATGGATTAAGATAATAGTCTTTCCATGTCACTCTCATAAGCTCAATTATTTTTGATATACCCATGTATATACGTTTATAATCCCATAACCCAGATTAAAACAGAGAACATTTCTAGCATTCCTTTCAGTACCCATGCGCCCCTTTCTGGAGGTAACCACTATTCTGACCTTTACCATCCTAGATCAGCTCCTGTTTAATCTACTTATCACAATGTGTTTATCCATTGTCCTGATGAAAGGCATCTGCATTGTTTCCAGTTTTTCGCTGTACTATAGGAGGCTGCTATGGCCATTCTTCTAATGTTTTTTTTATGTTAGTTAGTATGCACTCTTTTCTCTTGAGTACATACCCAAGGAGTGGAAATGCTGAGCTTTCAAGCAAGTATATATTCTGCAGGAGTAAATACTGACAAGCTGCTTTCCAATGGGGCTGAGCCATGTTACATCCCTAAAGGTTTCAGGAACAAAATAAATCAAATATGTATTCAAACAAGTTCCCCACAAAGTACCTTTTCTTGTAATTTAGCATTTGACTTTTCTAAATCTCTTTGCAGATTTGCAATTTCATTTGTCTTCTCAGAAACAATCTCTTGGAGTTTATCAACAGTTTCTTGGTGCTCTTTCAGATCCTTGTGAGCAATACTTAGTTCCTCTTGTTTTTTCAGATCCTTTATTATTAGAAAAATTTAAGAACAATGATATAGCTTAATGTCAATTAGTATTTTTAATCAAGAAATATTTTCTTAAAAATAGTAACATAAATTTTTCTCTTCTCATCTCCACATATGCTACTCTTACTTTCCTGGGACAAATATTTTATACAAACACTATTTTATAGCTTATTTTCCTCCTTAGAAGTTATGTTGGGCTTCTAAACAGGACATTCAAATCCATCTATTTCTCTCTTTTCTTTTTTTTTTTTTTTGTTAAGAGTACACAGTATTTTGACATACCACTCATATATACCTAGTTTCCTTCTTAAGAACATTTAGATTGCTTTCCATTTGTAAATTACAAACTACTATAAAGAATGACTTGTGGGGAACTTCCGGTAAATTTATTTTGGAGCATGAAGATAAGGGCCTACTAATTTGGGCCTACATAATTTGATAATTATGGAATATATTACCTTGAGAATCACACGCATATTATGTGCATTATAATACAGACTTTTCATGAACTTTTTGAAGTATCTTTATATAGTTTTCTTTATTGTAACAACTGAGTCAGTATAGACACTGCATAAAATCTATAAAGTGCTGGTTACAGACTAGTAATTTTGAAAAACAATACTAACTTCTCCATTTGAAAAGTTATACTGTTTTATTCTTGCAACAATACCACTTGTTTCAAAGCAAGGTTCACTGCTATAAGGAAATATCACATTCACTTGCTAGGAAGAGACATAGTGTAACGTACTTTAGCTTCTGTTTCTTGAAGGCATTCCCTAAGTTGGTCTCGTTCCATTTTGAGGGCTTCTTTTACTCTTTTCAGGTCATCATTTTCTTTAGTAACAAGTCTTATTTCTTCAAGATTTTCATGAAGTTTCTGAGTCAATCTTAACTTCTCCATTTCTGTACTTTCCAGAATTGAATTCTGGGCCTCTAATTGCCTCTTCAATTGCTCTGTTTGATACACAGTTTCTCGGAGATCATTTTTTACTTTAATAAGTTGACATTCTTTCTCCTGAAGTTCTTGGATCTTGATATTAATCATATAACAAGTTAGAGTAGTAATAGATACAGACAAAAAACTCAACAATACTTTCCAAACTGAACAGGCAAATCTTCACCTGTCTTCAATTTGAGGGTGATTCTGATCCTGTTTCATTACACAAAGGACCCAATTCAAACTCTCAGCTGCTCAGATTACAGCTAAAAACAAATACATACCTGTGCTTTTAAGGCAGAATCTGAGCTTTCTAAATCCATCCGCATATTTGCTATTTCATCTATCTTCTCTGAAATAATCTCTCTCAGTTTATCAACAGTTTCTTGGTGCTCTTTGAGGTGCATGTGTGCAATTTTTAGTTCCTCTTGTTTTTCCAGGTCCTTTATTAGACAAAAATAATACATAGAGGATAATACAATTCAAACAGAACAGAAATGTATAGGATAAGAAGAATCATTCTACTCCTTTTCTGAGGCTTTCCTGTCCTCACTCTCTACGCTTCTTTCAGATGTCAATTCATTCTAGGTAGACTTTGCAATTTAACCCTAATCCCTAACATGAAATCAGCACTGTAGTTCTATCCTACTCTATATCCATGCCATAGAACTCCATGATTAATGGCACATTTAACCAGTTTCCACTAAAAGATAGTTAGAAATTTCCCTATTTTGTGGTTTGCTTTATTTGGTTACTGCAATTTGCTGCAATGAGTATGCTTCTATAAATATCTTTGTCCAGCTACCCAAATGTGTCTATGACTGGCTACAATTGGATGTTTTAGGTTAAAAACAAACTTAATGAAAAATGTGGAAAGTCTTAGCAAATATCCCCTATCTCCTCATGACCCCCAACCTTCCTCAAAGGTTTACATTCCCATGACCCCTGTGGCCCACTGTTCCTTTAGGACACACAGTTGCAGTTACTAGATGGGGAAAAGATGGTAACTCACTTTAGTTAGAATTTCTCTTAGGTTTTCCTTAAGCTGGTCTCTCTCTGCTTTGAGAGTCTCCTCCATTTCCCTAAGGTCATCTCTTTCTTTTAATACAGATCTCATTTCCTCAAGGTTTTCATGGATCTTCTGACTCAGTTGTACATTCTGCATTTCTACGTTTTCCAGTGTTGACTTCTGGGTCTCAAATTGTTCTCTCAAGTGTTCCATTTCACACATTTTTGCCTGAGACTCATTCATAGCTTTTACCTGAATATACTGCTGTTCTTTTTCTTCAAGTTCTTGGATCTGAGAAAATAAAATAAGTTAGGATATGGGCAAAGCTTTTTTTTTCTTAAGCATAAGAAAGAATTATTCATAAACTAAGGCAATCATCTTTACATGTTAGCCTACTCTTCTCTTTCATAAAGGATATGAGAAACACAGTAATCAGATGTCAATTTCCAGCTTAACAGAACCAAGCCTACTTTTGTCTACAATTTAGCATCTGAATATTCGTCACTTGGTTTGTCTTCTCTGAAATATTACTTGTACTAACATTATCTTGGCACTCAGATATGAATGCAAATAGCTTTTAGTATTTGTGTTGCCAGTTCTTTTAAGATTACAGGAAAATTAATAAAACTTAACAATGAATACAACCTAATCCTATTTTTGTATCCAAAAAGCAACAAAAGAGGGAAACTTACTTTAGCTGTAATTTCTTTCATGTTTCCTTTCAGTTGGTCTCTTTCTATTTGAAGGGCCTCCTGTATCCTTTTCAACTCATCTCTTTCCTTAATTATAATTCTTATTTCTTCTTGACTTTTTTGAAGTCTTTCGGTTAACTCAAGTTTCTCACTTTCTGTATTTTGTAGTGTTGACTCCTTGGCTTTGAGAAGCTCCTTGAATTGTTCCAGTTCACTCACTTTTCCCTGAGGCTCACAAACTTCCTTTACACTAGTAAGTTGTTCTGGTTTCTCATAAAGCTCTTGGATCTTAAAAATGGTAAAATAGCCAAAAATGTGTACATATACACAAATAAACATATATTTTAAGCCAAAAGAAGCAGGTTGATTTCTAAAACAATTTAGTGCATAAACACCAATCTTTATTATTGATTTATTTCAGCAGAGAGTCAGTGAGCAGGGAGGGAGAGTTAAGACAGCACGATAGTGAGAGAGCTTCCTCGTTTGCTGGTTCACTTCCCAAGTGCCAGTAACAGTTCCAGGCTGGAGACCAAAGTCAGGAGCTGGGAACTCAGTGTAGGTGGAGGAACCCAACCATCTGAATCATTACCACTATCTGTCAGGGTCTGCATGAACAGGAGGCCAGAATCAGGAATGGAGCTGGGTAGAACCCAGACCCAGACACACTAATACGTGATTCAAAGGTCTTTTTTATTTTTTAAAAATGATTTCTTTATTTATTTGAAAGGCAGAGTTATATATAGAGATGGAAAGACAGAAAAAGGGAGAGAATGTTCTATCCACTGGTTCACTCCCTGACTGGCCACACAAAGGCTGAAGCTGAGTTAGGTAGAAGCCAGGAGCCTGGGACTCCATCTGGGTCTCCCATGTAGATGGCAGGGGCCCAAGCACTTGAGCTGTTTTCTGTTGCCTACCAGGCACATTAACAGGGGGCTAAATCAGAAGTGGAGCAGCTGTGACTCGAATTGGTGCTCATTTGGGATGCTGGCTTTGCAGGTGGTGGCTTAACCCACTGCATCACAATACTGGCCCCTAAAGTTCTTAATAGGCAACTCAACCACTAGGCCAAATATAGTAGTCTTTCTAACCCAATGGGTCACATGCCTCAGGTATCATCTCACTGTTCCTTCACCCTCCCTTACCTTTTTCTGTAATTCAACATTGGTCATTTCCAATTCCTTTTGCATGCTGGATATTTCAGTTTCCTTCGCTGAAAGATCTACTCTCAACTTATCAATAGTTTCCTCTTGTTCTTTTAGGCAACAACGGACAACTTTAAGTTCCTCTTCAGTTTCTAGGTGCTTTAAGAAATGGATAGAAAAGTTATAACCATTGTAATTCCACTTCCTAAAGTTCTCATGAAAATATACTTACAAAAAGTAAACATTGTTATAAAACGAAATTTACTTTAGCTATGATTTCTTGTATGTCTTCTTTAAGCTGCTTGCTTTCTGACTGAAGAGCTTCTTGCAGCCTCTCCAGGTCATCTCTCTCCTTGGCCACAGATTTCACTTCATCGAGACTTTCTTGAAGTCTCTCGGACAACTTCAGTTTTTCCATTTCTATTCTTACTAGTGCTGAATCTTTGGCTTTGAATTCTTCCTTCAATTTTTCCATCTCACTCATGATTTTAGTAGTCTCATCTTTTTCTTTCATACTGAATGACTGTTCTTGTTTGCCTTGAATCTCTTGAATCTTAAGAGAATCATAAAACAGTACAGTTGAGTTCCAGAGATATTTTAGCATAGGGAAAAAGGAATCAGGACACTTTCTCCAACTGTCAGGGCAGGACACAGCCATCTTTCCACCTCTCCCACTCTTCCATTATTTGGGCATTTAACTCTCTTTTATTGAGGACTCAGTGTTGTCAGCATCCTTACTAGCAGTTGGAGATAAAACAGTAAATGAGACTTATGTGATCTCTGTCTTTTTGAGACTTACAAGTTAGGGGGGAAGACAGACATAATGCAAAATCTTACCAGGGTGTTAACATCAAATCTAGTTATTGTGAGTGATTAGGAAGGATTAGGGATACAAAGCTTCAGTTGTGATCTGGAGGATAAGAGCATTAGATAGGCAAAGGGAGGCATGGAAGGACTACAGGTGGAGAGAGCAGAGCGTCTGATGGCCGTGACATGCAGAGAGCAGATGAGTGTTGCTGGGGCATGAGCAGGAAGTGTGAGCTGAATTAAGGATGTAGAGCAGCAAGGTCTGGGGTCCAGGGCTTCATGGGTCACATGCAGGACTCTGACCTTTATTTCAATTTTATTATTGAGACACGAAAGGATTTAAAAAAGAGCACCTGGCCTCAAAATGGGGTATGGATAAGATTAGTATGAACATGAACGTGGGAGACCAGTTAGAGAAAAAATCATGGTGTGAGTTGGATTAGGGTAGGCGGTGGCACAGTGAGAAACAAAGTGGAGGGATTTTCACACGTGTGTGTACACACACATACACACACCAAGAAAGAGTGGAACTGGGAGAACTTGAACACGCAAACCCACTGATGTCAACAAGGTTGGTCACTGAATTAAGGAGTGAGTGAGAGGAAGGGATATTAGTAGGGATGATTCCCAAGTTTCTGAGTGAAGCAATGAGGAAGACAGTAATGCCTCATGGGATGTTAGAGGAGCAGGTTTAAAGATGGGAAGAAAATAATTCATTTTTGGCTTTTACCTTTCCTGTAATTTAGCACTGCTTTTTCCAAATCATTTTTGAATATTTAAGAAAACATAGGCCTTCTCTGAAACCTTGTGTCTCAGTTTCAATAGTTTCTTAATATTCATGAGTACTTTTAATTGTTCTGTTTCTGATTTCTTCATGATTAAGTGACATTTAAAGAATGGTAACTGTACTTTAACTATGACAAAAATGCCCCCTCTCCAAAACCTTGTTTTTTGTAAAATAAAATCCTAACTACATGGGAGGAAACTTACTTTAGCCAAATTTTCTCGCATGTCTTCTTTCAGTTGGTCACGTTCAAGCTGAAGTGCTTCTTTTATCAACTTAAGGTCATCTCTTTCCTTCGTTAGAGATTTTATCTCTTCATGACTTTCTTGGAGTTTCTCAGTCAACCTTTCCATTGCTATGCTTGCTGGTGTTGTGGACTCCTTGGTTTTGGATTGTTCTTTAAGTAACTGCAGTTCACTCATTGTTTCCTGAGTCTCACTGACTTCTTTAACATTAGGAAGTAGCTCCTGTTCCTCAGGAAGCACCAAGATCTAGCAATATTCAGAAAATACCAAGGTTACTATGTGGAGAATATTACTGTGATTGCTAAATTTTTATTTGAAAGGCAAAAGGGGGGGGTGGTGGAGGAAGAAGAGACTCTCTTCCATCCACTGGTTTATTCCCCTAATGCCCATAGCAGTCGGGGTTGGACTAGGCTGAAGCCAGGAGCTGTGAATTCAATCCAGGTGTGTTCCTGGTTGTGGGTGGCAGGGACCAAAGTAACCCGAGCCATCAACACTACTGCCTCTAGGGTATGTACTGGCAGGGAGCTGCAATTAGAAGCAGAGCTGGAACTCAAACCCCAGCATCTGATATCAGAGGTGGGAGTCCTAAGTGGTATCTTAGCCAGAATCACAAATGCCCACCTGTTCCCCACCCCACCCCACCCCAGCAAGTTTTGAAGGGAAAAGACCAGGTACATTCTACGGCAATGATCTTGAACCCTCAGAGCCTGCTCCTACTGTTTATTCCTTTTCCTTTGATTCTCACTGAAGCTATTCACAACTTCTGTCTAGTCATATTCTGTCATAACTTTCTTTCCAGCTTAGATTCAAAGTGAACCAATTCTTATTCTTTACTAATAAGGTGTTAATTCAGTCAATTGTTAGTTCCCAAATGCTACAAGTTGAGCAGATTATATTCTTTTTTAAATTTTTTTTTGGCAGATGGAGTTAGACAGTAACAAAGAGAGACAGAGAGAGAAAGGTCTTCCTTCTGTTGGTTCACCCCTCAAATGGCTGCTAGGGCCAGCACAGCGCCAATTTGAAGCCAGGAGCCAGGTGCTTCCTCCTGGTCCCCCATGTGGGTGCAGGGGCCCAAACACTTGGGCCATCCTCCACTGCCTTCTTGGGCGACAACAGAGAGCTGGACTGGAAGAGGAGCAACCGGGACTAGAACCCAGGGCCCATATAACCCAGTGCCCATATGGGATGCCAGTGCTGCAGTTGGAGGATTAACCAAGTGAGCCAAAGTGCCAGCTCCAGAGCAGACTATATTCTAATACATATAGGGTCCCATCTTCAGATGGGCCCCATTGCCACTTGTCAATTTTTTCTGTGTGTACACATAGAATGCTCTTTCCCATGATTAAGGGAAGTTACCATGTAATTTTGCATATCATATTTCTCTATGTACTATACTGGAATTGAGAGATTTAAAAATTATTTATTTATTTATTTTAGAGGCAGAGATACAGAGAGATCTTCCATCCACTGGTTCACTGCCTAAATGGCTGCAACAGGTCTGTGTTCAGTTGAAACCAAGAGCCAGGAGCTTCATTAGGACCTTCCATGCGGGTGTCAGGCACTCAAATACTTGGGTCATCCTCCACTGCTTTCCCTGATACATTAGTAGGGAGCTGGATCTGAAGTGGAGCAGCAAGGGCTCGAATAGGCAACCATATGGCATTCCAGCATTACAGGCAGTAGCTTACCTGCTATGCCACAATGCTGGCCCTGAGGGACTTTTTTATGTGCCCACATTGGGGGAAAGAACCATGTCTTATTTAACATCCACAGTATCAATGCTTGGCATAGACTTTTAAAAAATAACAAAGATATATATATATTTTTAAAGGTTATTTATTTGAAAGGCAGATTACAGAGAGAGGAAGAGAGAGAGAGAGAGCTATTACCATTGCCTCCCAGAGTTTTCACTGGCAGAAATCTGGAGTTAGGAGAGCTGAAATTGTGAATGAAACCCAGGCACTTCAATGTGGGATGTTGGCTAAATGCCTAGGTTAAATGCTCCCCAGAGTAGGCTTTTAACACAAATTGGCTCAGTCATGTCCAAGTCTCACCTCTAGAGCATCTAACATTATCTGATGTTACCTAGCCCATTGATTACTTATAAGCTACCTCCTTCCACTTCAAATAGATAGTAGGATTTTAGGAAACTTGTCTACCTTGTTCCCATATTTCTATAACCTAGGACTGTGCCTGCCCTATTCCACATTCAACAAATTTTGGTGTAGCAGCTGAGAAGACACTTGGGACCTCTGCACCTCACACTGGAAGCCTGGGTTCAAGTCCTGGCTCCATTTCCAATTTCAGTTTCCTGCTAGGTGCACCCTGGGAAACAGCAAATGATGGCTCAGGTAATTGGGACTCTGCTGAACGTGTGGGAGATCCAGACTGATTTCTAGGCTCCTGCCTTCAGCCAGACCAAGCCCCAGCCATTGCAGGCATCTGGGAATTGGAACTGTGAATGGAAGATTTCTATCTGTGTCTCTTTGGCTTTTAAAATAAAATGAATATAAAAATTAAAAAATATCCCTTAATTGAATGAACCATAACTTAGCTACTATTTAATGTTTATTTTTTCTTCAGTGGAGAAAGGAAGAGGTGACAGATTACAGAAGAGAGAAAAGACTTACCCCTTGTAATTTGGTGTTGGATTTTTCCAAGTCCTTCTGAGTATTTTTCGTTTGAGCTGTCTTTTCAGAAAGGCTTCTTCTTAGTTCATCAATGGTTTCTTGCTGTTCTTTTAGATTCATGTGAGCAATTTTTAGTTCTTCTTTTGTTTGTAGGGCCTTAATTAATGAGAAAGTGAAATTTAAAGAGTATTACAACAACATTATCCCAACGTTGTCCCCCTCTTTCGAATTGGCTCAGTTTTTAAAGAAACATTTAATAGATGAAGGAAAAGAGTATAACTTACTGTAGCTTCAATTTCTTTTATGTATCCTTTAAGTTGGTCCCTCTCTATTTCAAATGTCTCCTGTAATTCCTTTAGATCATTTCTTTCCTTGGTTATAGAGTTCTTTTCTTTATAATTTTCTTGAAGTTTCTGAGCCAACTCAAGCCTCTCTGTTTCCATTTGTTCCAATTTTAATCCTTGGTTCTTGATTTCATTCTTTAAATTTTCCATTTCAGTCATCTTTTTCTGCATTTCACTCATCTCTTCTTGAACACTAAGAAATTGCTGCTGTTTTTCTTGGAACTGTTCAATCTTAAGATTTATAGTTTTTATAATTACTATTTTTTCTATATTTTCTCAAAATTCTTATGTAAATCATTAGCACAGGCCTGCCTATCACCCCAATATAAACAGGCAAGTAGCATTAAAAGTAAATGCACAGTGTCTTAGTGGGTTGAATAATGTCCCACACAAAACTCATGTCTACAAAGAATGTCAGAACGTGAATTTACTGTGATGAGGTAAGGACAGAAAACATCCTAATGGATGAGGGTGGCTCTCAATGCAACAAAGAGTGTATTCATAACAGACAAAAAAGGACACAGAGACAGAAAGGAACATCATATGAAGGTGGAAGCAGAGACTACAGTGACACAGTTACAAGCTAATGAATGACAAGGTTAACTGGGAGACACCAGAAGCTAGGAAAAGCAAAGGAAGGCTTCTTCTCTAGAGCCTTAAGATCATGGTACTGATGACACTTCAACTTTGAACTTCTAGAATCCATAACATTAACAGAATAAATTTCAGTTGTTATAAGTCACCAAGTGAATGCTATTTTGATATGACAGCCCTAGGAAACTGATACAGGTTGAACAAGGAGCTATGGTGAGAATGAGACAAAGTAAAAAAAGCAGAGACTAATAAATAAAAGTAGCTACCAAATAACTATAATTTTTCATCTTTTAAAAATGTTTATCTATTGGAAACAGAGCAAGAATGTGAGAGAGGGAGACAGAGAGAGAGAGAGACAGAGACAGAGAGAGAGAGAGAGAGAGAGGTATCAATCTTCCACCCACTGTTCATTTCCCAAATGTCTGCAACAACTAGGACTGGACCATGCTGAAGCTTGGAGCCAGGAAATTAATCCAGTTCTCCTATGTGGGTGGCAGGGACCCAAGTATTTGAGCCATTCTCTGCTGCTTCCCAGGTATGCATTAGCAGGAGGCTGGATCAGAGGCAGAGGCAGGGCCCACACCCAGGCACTCCAATCTGGGATAGAAGCCTCCCAAGTGGTGGCTTACCTTGCTGTGCCACAAGGCCTGCCCCGATTCCTTACCTTAATAAAAAGTTTAAAAATAATTTACTTTCATTGTTAGTAAGATGCTTAAGGGGTGGCCCAAACAAACACTGAGGCACTACATTTCTCAGACTGTGATTTCTTTCACTTCTTTAGGAGGAGTGTGAAACAGAGACAAGGTTTCGTAAATTCAATTACATGAAAAAAGAAATGAAAAGAATGAAAAGAAAACACATTTTAGAAAAAAACAATATAGTGCACATGGCAATGCCCTTAGCTTATAGTGAAGATTCTCTGTGAGTAGACTTCAGAATCACTTGGGCAAATCAGTTGGTACAGGGGTCTTTGCTCTGAAGCAGATATTATAGTATATCTTACTTCAATAAAAGAAATGAGTCTGGAAAGTATAAACATCTAAGAGATGGCAGTAATGGTTAATCCTATATTTTAGAGAATGACTAATGAATCCCCACAAAGGAAAGATCTTTATTTCCTTGACCAATGACTCTCAAGTGCCTAGAACAAAGTAGTTCTCAATATTTGATGAGGAACAGTACTATACAGGTTGAATGATACAAGGCTCCTTCTCACTGAATGAAGTCTCTGGAATCATATAATCCTCAAAGGGAATGTTACTTAAGACCACGGTATGGGTTGACAAATTTTAAAACATTAAGATCTGTACATGTGGGGATGTATGTGTTATTCCTGGATTCTAGTCTATGGGCATCAAAATTTATTACCAAGAAAAGTTAAGTCAGGGAAAACTAAAAATTCACCTTTTCCTTTAGTTTTTCTTCAACTTCTGCCAGTTTCTCACAGGCCCTAGAGAGCTCTTCTTCCTTCTTTATGGTACGGTTCTTTTCTTGTACAACAATTTCTTGTTGCTTTTTTAGGTCATCACCAAGAATTCTTAATTCTTTCTGGTTTTCAATGGTCTAGAATTAAAAATAAAAAGTTGAGATTCAGATAAATATTAGATCATATTTATGAAATCTATTAAAAATCAATATTTGCCTCAGCCTGCAGACGAAGAAATTAAGACAAATCATATAAGCAAAGATCAACAACAAAAAAGGGGGGAGGCGAATTATTAATTTAATCAGAGACGCTAGGAATCTTTATTTTATGTCATTTCTTTATAGCTACATTTATATTCCTATCATGATAATTAGAATTGGATTTAGCATTCTATTATGACAGCTTAGCTCATTTCAGCCCCATTAGCCCAAAGAGACTATTTTTTTTTTTCTTTTTTAAAGAGTTATTTATTTATTTGAAAGTCAGAGTTACAGAGAGGCAGAGGCAGACAGAGAGGTCTTGCATCTGCTGGTTCATTCCCCAAATGGCTGCAACAACAGGAGCTGAGCTGTGCTGGTCTGAAGCCTGGAGCCAGGAGCTTCTTCCAGGTCTCCCACCTTGGTGCAGGGGCCCAAGCATTTGGGCCATCCTCTGCTGCTTTCCCAGGTGCACCAGCAGGGAGCTGGATTGTAAGAAGAGTAGCCGGGACTTGAACTGGTACTCACATGGGATGCCGTCACTGTAAGTGGCAGCTTTACCCGCTACGCCATAGTGTCAGCCCCAAAGGAACTATTTCTAAGCTTTCTTGACTGATAGAGATTATAGTTACGAGATTTTTTTTTTTTTTTTATATGACAGGATGCCTTTGGTTTTGGTTGCTTATCAACAGCAAGCTCAAAAATGCAGCCACCTTCTGTTGGCATACACCTGGGTTTATCCATGAATTATGGTGCGAAAAAAGGACAGAGCCTGAGAAGACATACCCTTTATCGGTTGAGTACAAATAGTATTTGGCTGAGTAGAAAATCCCAAAACACATAAAATTAAAACAGTACAAAAGTTTACATTCTACTGTGACCCATAGGGAATTTCTCAAAATATTAATTTCAGCATTCCCTCATGTTGCCTCTGAACAGATAAAAATACTAAAGTAAGGGTGAAAATACAGGCAAACACCACCAACAAACAACTGAAGATGAAATAAAAAATTTGCAGTAGTATTAAACTGTGTATAAGATGTGTATACTGTATACTGAAAAACCATAATATATCACTGAGAGAACAGATAAATTACAGAAAAAGATACAATGGTGAATAAGCAAAAAATGTTCAAGCTCTTTAAGTCATTAGGGAAGCCCAATTACAACAAGTTACAGGCCCAGTGCTGTGGCATAGCAGGTAAAGCCACCGCCTGCAGTGCCAGCATCCCATATGGGCAGCGGTTCGAGTCCCGGCTACTCCAATTTCGATTCAGTCTCTGCTGTGGCCTGGGAAAGCAGTGGAAGATGGCCCAAGTCCTTGAGCCTTTGCACCTGAAGAGATAAGAAATCTGGCGGATGCTCCTGGCTCTTGGCTTTGGACCACCACAGCTTCAGCCGTTGTGGCTAATTGGGGAGTGAAACAGTGGATGGAAGACCTCTCTCTCTGCCTCTCCTTCTCTTTCTGTGTAACTCTGACTTTCAAATAAATAAATAAATAAATCTTAAAAAAATAATAAAACAAGTTACATATTCATTAGAATGGACAAAATTAAAAGCACAAATACATATGAAGTGTTGGTAAGTAAAGATGTAGAGTGGCCAGAATTACCTTAATTTGTTGAGGGGAATGTAAAATGGTAGAACTACTTTGGAAATCAGTTTAGCAAATTCTTATCGAGTTAAATATATACTTCTGTATGCCCCAGCAATCTATTTAGATATTTATGTTAGAAAAATAAAAAATAGGGGCCGGTGCTGTGGCACAGCAGGTTAACACACTGGCCTGAAACACCAGCATCCCATAAGGGCGCCGGTTCTAGTCCCGCTGCGCCTCTTCTGATCCAGCCCTCTGCTATGGCCTGGGATAGCAGAGGAGGATGGCCCAAGTCCTTGGGCCCCTGCACCCACATGGGAGACCCAGAGAAAGCTCCTGGCTCCTGGCTTCGGATCAGCGCAGCTCTGGCTGTTGTGGCCATCTGGGGAGTGAACCAACAGATGGAAGACGTTTCTCTTTGTCTCTACCTCTCTGTAACTCTTTCAAATAAATAAAATAAATCTTAAAAAAAGAAGAAAAGGAAAAAATAAGGGCCTGACAATGTGGCATAGCAGGTAAAGCTACTGTCTGTGATACTGGCATCCCAAATGGGCACTGGTTCAAGTCCTAGCTGCTTCACTTCTGATCCAGCTCCCTGCTAATGTGCCTGGGAAAGCAGTAGAAGATGGCCCAAGTGCTTGGGCGCCTGCCCCACTATGTGAGACCCAGATGAAGCTTCCGGCTTCTGGCTTTAGCCTGGCCCTGCCCTGGCAGGTTGGCTATTTGGAGAGTGAAACAGTGGGTGGAAGATCTCTGTCTCTTCCTCTCTGCTCTCTCCCCGCCCCCTGCTCTGTAATTTTGCCTTTCAAATGAACAAAATAAATCTTAAAAAAAAAGAGAAAAATGCTTTAAGAATGCTTATAATAGTTTTACTCAAAATGGTCAAATATTGGAAATAATCCACATTTCCATCAACAGTAGCTGATATATTCATATAATGCAATATTACTCTGTGAAAAAAGGAATGTAAGAAGTCAGACATAAGAGACTATACACTGAATGATTCTACCATGTAAAATTCTGGGGGAGACAGTACTACCTGAGGTGAAAACATACCAGCACAGAAAAAACTTGGGGCACAGTGGGGAGAGATGAAGAGTGGTTGGTAGGGGCACAGGGGAATTTGTTTTGGGATGGAGCTGAGAGTGTCTAGGTAGAGACATTTGTCAAAAGTCACCAGGTTGTATGTTTTTAACCAGATACACCTATTTCCTGTAAACTATTACCAAAAAGCAATAAGTATATAAGAAAATAACAAAATGAATTGTGAAGCATATAGTCCTAAATCCTACCATTTCAATATTTTCCTTTAGGTCGGTCTTCAACTGTTCCTTTTCTGCTGTAATATTCTCTAACCTTTGTTGGAGTTCCTTTTTCTCCTGTATTAAGGAAAGTATCTTCCTCTGTTGCTCACTTGCTTCATCGTCCGTAACATCTGCAATCAATGCTTTGGTTTTTTGGGCATCCAAATTTTGGTTTTTATCTATGTCAACCATCTAAAATATAAAGAAGTATTTCTCAAGTACTGAATGACAGTAACTATAATCATAAACACAGCCAACATTTACATGCACATTATACACATGGTGCTATTCCCATATCTTAACATATTTAATCTTCAATATAACACCATGTGGTAGGTGTTATTATCCCATTTGAGCAACCAGGAAACTGAACTTCTGAGAAGTCGAGTCACTTGCTCAAGGTCACTCAGAGAAAGGTACAGCCAGGTTTTGAACCCTATCTTGCAGCACAGAATCTGTACTCCTGTGCCTGCTCAGCTATAAATGTGAACAATTATCTCAATATGTGACTTCAGTTATGTTCATTATTTCAAACCAATTACATAATGAAAAAAGATATTTGTCTTTCCTTTCTACATATTTTCTGTCTCATACTAGTAGTATTATGGTATTTTACTACTAAAGAAGGAACAAGCAACCTTGAACACTGTATTTCTCCCTGCAAAAAGCTTGAAAGCATTCCCTACCTTTCATTCCTAGAAAATCTTTATTATCAGAGGCAGTTGTACTCACAAAAAGCTGGAATTTTATAATATGCACAGGCTAAAACAATTTTGATAAAAACCTCTTTCACATTATAATAGTATAATCGATCTTAATTTAATTTTTATATATCACTTAAGTATAGTATATTAGATGAATTAATTTATCCATTGGTAAGTCACCACCAAAGGTAATCTAATATACCAACTCATTTGTAAAAAAGAAGACAAAGGCTGACCTTACAATTACTGGTTCGTAATTAGGGTCCATAATAAACGTATTCTGCTCTATATCAGCAATTTTTAAAAATTTTTTGTAATAGTAATCACATTAAAAAATAGAAAAATGAAGGGAAAAGTCATCTAATGTCACCAACTTTACACTATTGCTTCTGGAATTTTAGTATACTTCCTTACATAGTTTTCCCCCAAAGATTTTCCTTAAATACAGCTATTATAATGAATTTACACATATTCTTTTTAGCTTATCTTTTTCCATGCTGCTGGGTAATCTTCAAATCATAATTTTTAGTAGCTTTTGATTCTCTTAAGTGAACACTTTACCTTGTTATTTCTTATGGTTGGCAAAATGCTTCTGACAATGGTGAGCAGAGAAATTTCATGAAAATTAAGGTGGGGAACATATAGTCTTTTGAAATCAGTTTGTCAGTTATTATAATTCAGAATTTTGCATGTTTATTCCTAAAAACAATAGTGTATGCAAACACAAAGCAGACCCGAGACAAGGTCTTTAGTGATGACATGCTTGATACATTTCAAATCTGAACTCAGCCTAGGAAGTCTTTCAGTATTTTATACCATGGCTATGAGCAAAGTACAAAAATTATTAAATAAAGAAAATAATTTTTTATTATATGACTCAACTTACTAACCAAAAACTTATAAAGTCACTGGATTTCCAGAAGGAGACGTATCAAGCAAGACTGAAAGGGAGCACTCTAAGGGGATTCATGATAGACCTACTTTGTAGCCATTTGGTGCCCAGATGAACAGAGGCGACCCTGGGAATCTCCAGCTAGACTCTTTTATCACCAGGAATGTATAATTCCTGTACGAACTTGATACCACAGGAACTAACTGGTTCCAGTGAGTATAACTCTCATTCTCCCTATCTTCTTCTTCTGTCCCTTTCTCATGGAGCTCCGTAATTACATTCTGAATTGACTAAAAGAATATATTGATTTCACAAATCTATCCAAAATTTTTTCCCATCATAAAAATGGAAGTTATAAATTTTCAAATGCCTTTGGCCCATCATTAATCCAAACTATAAATAAGGTAAGAACACAAGATATTGAGCACGTGAAAATGCTTTTATAGGAGACAAGGAATGAAGTACAGGGAGACATAGAGAGAAAACTCCCTTTCCAAGGCAGGACTGGCCCCACAGAGATTTATTTATATCAGTTGGATCTTAATGAATTAATCTGAAATATGTGTTTTCTATTTAGTAAGTTATCCTGAAGATTTTTCTTTTTGTACAATATGTCTATCTTTAAAAATATGATTATACAAAAGTCAGGTGCACTTTTATATATCAACAATGAACAATCCAAAGATGAAAAAAATTGACAATAGCCCCCAAAAAGAATAAAATACTAAAAGTAAACTTAACAAAGGAAATAAAAGACTTGTATACTAACTACAAATGCTGTGGAAAGAAATTAAAGAAGATACAAATGGAAAGACATCCCATGTTCGTGGATTGAAAGACTTAATAATACTGTTAAGAAGCCAATACAACCCCAAACAATCTACAAACTGAAATCCCTACCAAAACCCAATGGTGTTTTTTGCCAAAGCAGAAAAATCTACCCTAACATTAATATGGAATGTCAGTGAATCCCTAACAATGGATCTCAAAACATTGTTGGAAAAGAACAAAGCTGAAGGGCTTATGCTTTCTGATTTTAAAATTCATTAGACAGCTACAATAATCAAAATAGTATGGTGCTAGCATAAAACAAAAATGGTCTACACATCAGGTCTTTTGATGGGTTTTGTCCTTGCCTTGTAACTGAATGTCAAGCTGTTAAGATTTTTACTTCCTAAAATTGTGCTTAAAAACCTCAGTATCACCAGCCCCTTGGGGTTTTTGCCTCTCTTGGAGCCCCTCTCCTGGTCACTCTGCTAGGAGGTCTCTGATTTACATAAATCTTGCTTTTAAATTAAATAATAAAAAAAAAGTCATAGAGACCAACAAACAGACCAGAAAGCCCAGAAATAAATATTCAAGTACATATATGGTCAAACAAGGGTGCCAAGCCCATTCAAGGGGGAAAAACCAGTCTTACCAATGGTGTTGAAAAAATTGGATATACACATGCAAAATAATAAAGGTGAACCCCTCCCATACACTACATATAAAAATTAATTCAAAATGACTGAAGACCAAAACATAAAAGCTAAAACTATAAAATGTTTAGAAGAAAACATATGAAAAAGCTTCACGACAAAGATTTACATATGCTATCAGAGCATAGGCAACAAAAGTAAAAACAGTACATCAAAATTAAATTCTATCAAAAGACATAATGAACAGAGTGAGTCATATATTAATAAAGAATTCATATCCAGAATATATAAAGAATTCCCATAACTCAACAACAAAAACCAAACAACTCATATTAAAAATGATTAAAAGACTTTAATAGGCGTTTCTGCAAAGAAAATTTACAAATGGCCAACAAGCATATTGAAAGATGCCCAGTATCACTAATAATCACGAATATGTAAATAAAAACAACAGTAAGATACTGCCTCACATCCATGAGGGTAGCTGCTATAAAGGCAGAAATAACCTGTTGGTGAGGTTGGGGAGAAACTGGATCTTTTGTACAGTTGAGGGGAATGTAAACGTGATATAGTCACTGTGGAAAACAAAATGGTGTTTCCTCAAAAAATTATAAATTGCATTATCATTTGATCTAACAATTCCATTTCTAGATATACTTCCAAAAATGAAAGCAGAATCTGAAAGAGATATTTATGTACCCATCTTCATAGCAGCATTATTGACAATAACCAAAATGTGGATGCACCCCAATGTCCATGAAGGTGGAATGGATAGGCAAAATGTGGCAGAGGTTGAGTGTCCTTTATCCGAGATGGTTGGGACCACAAATGTTTTGATTTTAGAGTTCTAGGTTTTTGGATTAGGGATTTAATACCTGTACAACAATATGAATGAACTGAATACTGAACTACATACTTAAATATGGTTAAGGTGGTAAGTTTTATGGTATGTCTATTCTACCAAAAATTGCAAAAAAGAAAAAAAAAAAAGACTGTATACTATTCTAAGATATAAGTGTATACACACACACACACACACACATATACCCATACCCAAAGATTATTTTACCAGTCTCCCAATGAAAAATGTTTTAAAATTCTAGCAGTAAATATTCTGGATTAAGAGATGAAGTACAATAAAAATGAACTATAAAATACCACTTTTCAAACTATGAACTAGTGCCTTTTTTGCCCTTCCCTTTCCAAACAGATTGTAAGCATTTATTTTTGAAGTTATTTATTTCGAAGCTTATAAAATCAATGTTAGTTAATAGTGTTGCAAATAACAAATAAAATTGAGATTACCTTTGCTTACTTAAGTGTTTGAGGTTAAACAGAAAGCTTTTATACAAGAAAATGAAAACTTTGAAAATATACAAGCTTTACCTTTTGCTGTAATTCATCTTCAGTTTCTCCCATGTTTTCCTCTACATGCAAATTTCTGGCTGTTTCCTCAGAAATTTTCATTTTTAATATGGTAATTGTTTCTTGGTATTGTTTCAGTGACTCAAGAGCATTCCGTAATTGTTCTTGTGTATCTATGTTCTTTGTTGGATACGCAGAAAACAATTTCCATTAAAATGTGAAATAATGACAATAATTTTGCAATTACTAGTTGATCACAAATAATAAATGATGGCTCCTGCAATGTTTTCAAAGAGGCTCCAATTTTCCAAAGTTTGATAACTCAGAAACCTTACCATATTCACTGTATCCTGAATATCACTTTTAAGTTGGTCCCTCTCTGTTTGAAGACTCTCTTGGAGTTGTCTTAGGTCATCTTTTTCTTGAGTCAATGTTCTTACTTCTTCTAAGGTTTGCTGAAGTTCCTCAGCAATGAGTGTTTTCTCCCTTTCTATAGTTTGCAGCCGCAAATCTCTAGTTTCTAATTGTTCCTTCAATTGTTCCATTTCATTTAACTTTTCTTGGCCTTCAGTTGTTTTTTGGTTAAGTTCTTGGGTCTTGTGAGAAAGCTATAAAATAAAAGAAAAATAAACAAGTAAAAGCAAAACCAAACCCCAGAAGATTCACCCTAGTATGCGGGTATTTTTCTTTATAGGATTTTGTACCAACCTCAGTCTTCAAAGTATCTAAATTTAAACGAAATTTTTGTGCTTCTTTAGAGAGACTTCCCATTTCTTGATTTATTCTCTCATTTTCCTCTAGGACTGTATTATACTTCTGCTGAAATTCCAGATGAAGGGTCTTGAAATCTTGGAATTCTTGATTAGTGCTTTTATAATTCAACTGAATAGCTGCTAGGTCATCTTTAGTTTTTCCAATTTCTTCAAGTAAACCTTGAATTCTACTCTCCTTATCAACTACTTCAGATAACAATCTATCTTTTTCTGATGTTATCACACAGATTTCTTCAGATTTATCATTTATCTAAGGAAAAGAGATAAAACAGCGTTTTTAGCCATGTATGAGTACTGAAGCAATTTTCAGGGAAAAAACCTTTATATAAAAAAAGTCATTTTAATTAAGAATTGACTAAAAAAGGGCAGTATTGCTATTGTCCTATTTTCCTAATTTAACCTTTCCAACTTTAGCTTGGATGCTGTTTCCTAATGTCTTTTGGTTCTAGTAAATTGCATGAGAAAAACAGTCAGTAGGAACATTTATGTCTTTGTTTTTCCCCTTTATCCTTCTAAAACGTTTTCTAACTTTGTTGTGCTGCAGGCATTTTAAGGTTTGTCTCAGAATCTGAGTTATTTTTTTCCCTAAAAGATTTCAGTGCAGTTCAGACTGCCAATAAACCTAATTCATGAATAATTTAACTAACACTTGCTTAAAATTCTTGCTGAAAAAAGTATTACTTAAATTGTTGTTTAAATAATTAATCCACATGCAGTTTATAAACAGTTCAAACACTGTGAAACATAAGGGCTGAAGGAGCTGAGAAAGAAGGCTAAAAAGGTGGCACAAGGGGAAGCGGGTCCTAATAGCCTGGTGGTTACAATCTCGTGCTTAGGAGGCAGACCTGTGTGGTTCAACTACTCTTTTTTTTTTTTTTTTTAAAGATTTATTTTATTTATTTAAAAGACAGAACTACAGAGAGAGGTAGAGACAGAGAGAGAGGTACGTTTTCCATCTGCTGGTTCACTCCCCAGATGGCCACAATAGGCCAGGAGCCAGGAGCTTCTTCCGGATCTCCCATGTGATGCTGGGGCCCATGGACTTGGGCCATCTTCTACTGCTATCGCAGGCCACAGCAGAGAGTTGGATTGGAAGTGGAGTAGCCGGGACTAGAACCGGTGCCCAGATGGGATGCCGGCACTTCAGGCCAAGGCGTTAACCCACTGTGCCACAGCGCCGGCCCCTCAACTACTCTTAAAGAGTTTGATAACTGTTTGTTAGGGCTAAACACAGCAACCATATTATATTTTGTTTTAGGACTGTATGGCTCTACATGGATTATGGTACTAAGGTTACTGTTAAATATACTTTGAAAATACAGCCTTTTTTTCATTCAGTAGGCCAAGAACAAATTAGATGAACTATATTCACTTTAACTGGTAATAAATTCAGGTGAATGTTTACAATCCATGCCTGCTACTGAAAAATATACTATTACAGAGCATTTCAGATGTAACTGCAAAGGTTTTATTTCTAGAAATTTTTTTTTTTAAGTAAAGTTACAGATGCAGAAAGGAAGAGACAAAGGTCTTCTATCTGCTGCCACTCCTGAATAGGCTGCAAGGGCTGGAACTGACCAATCTGAAGCCAGGAGCTGGAAGCTTCTTCCAGGTCTCCTACGTAGGTGCAGGGGCTAAGAATTTGGGCCACCTTTTACTTCTTTTCTAGGCACACTAGCAGGGAGCTGGTTGGAAGAGGAGCAGCTGGGACACACACTGGCACCCATATGGGATTCTGGAGCCACAGGCAGAGGCTTCATTTACCAATCCACAGTGCCAGCCCCAAAGGTTTTAATTTCAAAACAAGGGTTAATCACTTAAAACTGTGCTTACCTCTTTTCTCAGCATTTCTATCTCAGGGAGTAATGATTTCAATTCTGAGAGCGAATTAACTTCTTTCCGCAAAGCTTTATTTTCTTCAACTTCTTTATTCACTTCTTTCTGCAGATCGGTAATCCTTTTTTCCAATTCAAAATTACAAAGCAAATCTAGGAAGTTTTGGTAAAGTCAGAGCCAATGTTGGAAAGTGGGTAATCTAATTTTTAATAATTCTGGAATTACCATTTCCAAAAATCTGTTCTACTTTACTTGAAAATATTTTTAAACTCTGATGATTTGAAGCACATGGTAATCTATGTGAAAACTGACATGAAATGATATTAAAGCTTAATAATAGGTTATTAAAAACCACAGCATAATGGAATATTAATCATTAGACTATAGTTATCAGTAGGTACGTTTCTAGAGGAAGTCAGATTTGCAAAGAGCTATCTGAAATTATAAAATACCTTTTGGAACTTTGCCATCTATTAGAGAGGTCAGTTTTGTTATTTCATTAAAAGCAGATTGTAATTCTTTCTCCAGGTCAACCTGCATTTTCTTTTTTGCTTCCAATTGGCTTTGCAATAACTGAACATCACTTTCCATTTGCTTGCATGTACTAGCAAGTTCTTTCTGTTGGGAGAAACATTGCATATTCACAAAAATGCACTGATCATTACAACTACATTCTCACAAATATAAAAATGACTTACCATTTTCTCTTTCAGCTCCAGATTCTCACTTCTGAGAAAGGCTGATTCCCTCTTGGCATCTAGGGCTACAGTTTCAGCATCAAACAGAGTCTGTTTCATTTGCTTTAAGTCTTCAGTGTTTTCCTAGAGATGGTAATAGATTCAGTGAAATTTAATTTTTATAAATTTGGAAAATACTTTAAAGAACATGTACACAGATGCTATTCGTAGGTAATCAAAAAAGGTTAAAGTACTCTAATTACCAAGTAAATGAAAAGAAATATATTTCATGAAGAAATAATTAAAACAAATTCTAGCCATATTTTTCCAGGTAGTATAGAAGCACTAGAATTTAAGAATCATCTTTCTGGGCCGGCGCCGCGGCTCACTAGGCTAATCCTCCGCCTGCGGCACCGGCACTCTGGGTTCTAGTCCCGGTTGGGGCACCGGTTCTGTCCCAGTTGCTCCTCTTCCAGTCCAGCTCTCTGCTGTGGCCCAGGAAGGCAGTGGAGGATGGCCCAAGTTGCCCAAGTGCTTGGGCCCTGCACCCGCATGGGAGACCAGGAGGAAGCACCTGGCTCCTGGCTTCGGATTGGCGCAGTGCACTGGCAGTGGCGGCCATTTGGGGGGTGAACCAAGAACCAATGGAAGGAAGACCTTTCTCTGTCTCTCTCTCTCTCACTGTCTAACTCTGCCTGTCCAAAAAAAAAAAAAAAAAAAAATCCTCTTTCTGATTAATAAAAGGTTAACAAAATTGTAATTTAGCTAAGTTGAAGTTCCCTTTGTATTTTCATTTTGAGTTACTCTCTGAAACACTTGGCAGATGAGTAGTTAAGAATTAAATTTCAGGACATTAAAACACAAATTAAAAAAAAGAAAATCCAGTAAAAAATAGAGAAAAGGTATGAATAGGCAACTCTGAGAAGGAAAAAGGTAAACAACAAATACACAAAAGATTGACAAGCTCAATTTTAGAGGGAAGTGGCATTCAAACATGATTTCAGCTTATGTGAATTCAACTTTATGTCTATGTCAAAAAAATTAAAATATGAATAAGTGAATAAGGAAAAATAACCAAACAATTCTTAAAGAATGGGTAATTCCTGCATTCTACAAACAGACATTCCAGGAATGTATGAAAATGTATTCCCTTTCAGGGCCTCAGATTAGTGTAATGGTTTTGTCACAAATGAAGGCAACAGAGGAGTACCAACAGGAGGTAAAATACTTAAAAAACTCAAATGAGGGGACTGGTGCTGTGGAGTAGAAGGTTAGGCCGCCACCTGTAGGGCAGTGCCATGGTCCCATATGGGTGCTGGTTCCAGTCCTGGCTGCTCTACTTCCAATCCAGCTCCCTACTAATGCTTGGGAAAACACAGAATATGGTCCAGGTGCTTGGACCCCTGCACCTATGTGGAAGACCCAGATGAAGCTTCTCATTCCTGGCTTCAGTCTGGCCCAGCTGTAGCCATTGTAGCCATTTGGGGAGTGAACCAGTGGATGGGTCACTCTCCTTTTCTCTCTCTGTATCTCTGCCTTTCAAGTGGTTATCTTAAAAAAAAAGCTTAAAAAATCTCAAATGAAAACCAAAGGACAGAAATCAATTGAAATGATTGCCTTTTTTAAAAAGAGAGGTGTTTGTGAAAACAAGAACCGAACTGAAAATTTACTAAAGTAATCAGGAAGAGTGAAAGCAAACTGAAAAGAGATGAGCAATCCTACCATACAATTCGATTTTTTTATAATTATTATCTTCATTGTTGTAACCTTTATTGCTAATGATATTTATGATATTTTAAGAGATCCAGTGAGAAGTTTTGTTTATTTAGCTAGTTTTTCCACATTTATTTTCTTTATTTGAAAGGCAGAGTACGCAGAGAGAGAACAAGAGAGAGAAAGAGAGACAGAGGGAGATATCTTCCATTCACTGGTTTACTCCCCAAATGGCTGCCAACAGCTGGGGCTAGGTCAGGCCACAGCCAGGAGCCCAGAACTCCATTAAGGTCTCTCGTATGGGTTCAGGTGCCCAAGAATTTGGGCTGTCCTCCACTGCTTTCCCAGGCATATTAGCAGGGAGCTGGATCAGAAGTGCAGCAGCAGGGACTGGAACTGGTGCTCACATGGGATGTGGGCACTGCAGGCAACAGCTTAACCCACTGTGCCACGATCAGCCCTGAGATTTTTTTTTTTTTTTTAAGATTTACTTATTTATTTGAAAGGCAGAGTTTACAGAAAGAGAGAGAGAGAGATCTTTCATAGATTGGTTCACTCCCCAAATGGCTGCAATGGCCAGAGCTGGGCCAGTTGCAAAGCCAGGAGCCATTAGTGTCCTTTGGCCTCTCACATGGATGCAGGGGCCCAAGCACTTACAACACCTTCTGCTGCTTTCCCAGGCACATTAGCAGGGCATTGGGTATGCAATGGAGCAGCCAGGACTCAAACCACCACCCACAAGGGTAGTGGCTTTACCTGCTATGCCACAGCACTGGCTCCGATTCATTGTTTTTTAATGCTAAGATCTCACACCAACTAAAATTATCGAAAGCCATATATTTTTGGAAACAATACTCACTAAATTGTTAAAATAGTTACTTAAATTATAACATATATTAATGTCTATCAATGAAATGGAATTCACGTAGTCAGGTTTAACTATATCTGGTATATATTTTATGCTTCCAGTTATGTATCAAGTCCAGTGTAAGTGTTCATCTTAAGATCCTGTCTATACAATTCTACATGAACTTATATAAAACAACTAAAAAGAATTCAAAATTCAAAATTTTTTGAATTACTGATTCTTAATGGAAGTTTGTTCCTAGCTTTACGTTCAAAGAATGATATGGTCAACTCCATTAATTTTTTTTATCTGTAAAATGGAAATGATACTAATAGTCTCTTTTTCATGTGGTTGATGGTTAAATATGTAAACTGGTTACAACAATGCCTAGTATCAAGTAGGCTCAATATAAGCATTTGCTATGATGATCATATGATGCTACACTATCAATGCCAATATGATGAAACAAAATAAACTTGATTTTTACCGATGAGTACGACAAGTCCATGTTTGTAATATTTTTTGATTTCTGAGAGTCTATGTATTCCTGTAGCTTCTTAATCTGGTCTTCTTTTTCTCTAAGCAGCTCTACTTTTGCGCTCAGTTCATTCTAAAAGAATCAAATGAGAGTGAAACACAACTTAGTGTTTGATTTGAATACATAGGGATTTAAAGAGAGGATTTTTATACAATAATTTAAATTGACACTAAAAGTTGAAATTATTGATATTTAAGAAATATAATACCTTTATTTTCTGAAATCATGTTCAATTACATGGTATATGCTTTAGTAGTTCTAGTTACTTATCAATAGAAATAACACATGATTGCTCACCTCAAGATCTTGATTATATACTTCTGCATGCTTAACTAAATTCTTTAAGTTGGAAATTTCATGAATTAGTTGCATCTGTAAGAGCATGTGAACAGGCAACAGAGCAAACCAATAGTTAATAAAGCAAAAAAAAAAAAAAGAAAAAGGGTAGCATTTTTTCACTGCTGCAGCATCACCCAACATAGAAGGACCAAGAGATTAACTGTTCAAGCTAATGCAACAGAGCACCTCATTATTTAAAAATGCAAGAAACACTAACCCAAACAAAATCAAAAGCCCACAAAACCTACAAAATAGAAAAAGTCTTCCAGCATTACCCAAATAACAGTTATGTCAACTGTTAATAAAGCTACAATAACATCAAAAGCAAATTAGTATACCAATACCAATTAGTAGTGAAGTGATAATCAAACTTGTAAAGAATTAGATTTTTTTTTTGGGTAAGTATAGCAATGCATTCATCCTTGTACATATTTTTTCCTTCTGATAAATTATTCATTTAGCTCTATGTTGACATATTTTTTAAAAAAGTTATGAGTTGGAATCTGGGTTTGGATAGTGTTCACATAGTATCTTTTCAATAAAGCTACAGAAGTATGGGATTATCAACTATTCTCTTGCTGAGTCTTACAGGAGATACCGAAAAGATGATGCTATGGCTTTACTGTTCAACTGTCTAAAAGTATAAAGGCTCAACTATGTTTATTAAGATTTCTTTTCTGGGACTGGTGCTGTGGCGTAGCAGGTAAAGCTGCCACCTGTAGTGCCGGCATCCTGTATGGGTGCTGTTTCGAGACCCGGCTGCTCTACCTCTGATCTAGCACTCTGCTGTGGCCAGGGAAAGCAGTAGAAGATGACCCAAGTCTTTGGACCCCTGCACCTGTGTGGGAGACCTGGAAGACGCTCCTGGCTCCTGGCTTAGGATCAGTGCAGTTCAGGCCTTTGCAGCCAACTGGGGAGCAAACCAGCAGATGGAAGCTCGCTCGCTCTCTGCCTGTCCTTCTCTCTCTGTAACTCTGACTTTCAAATAAATAAATCTTAATGACAAAAAAGATTTCCTTTCTATCAAAATACCTTTCTATCAAATATTTAGGTATCAGAGAGTTTTGTGTTCAAAACAAGTAAACTACAAGTTACCAAAATAAACACCTACCCTTAGAATTACTTAAGTCTTAATCAGACAAGGATTTAAAATGTAAAAGCAAGGTGCAACAGAGTGCAAAAGATTTAAGAAAATCATATCTTGCTTAAATATTTTCTGGATGCTTAATTCAGTGATTACTAGTTTTAGATTTCAGACTAATGCTAGTGCTGATTTATTTTCCTGTTTTAGGTCAGCACTGTCCAACAGAAATATAAGGTGAGCTACAAATGTAATTTACAATTTTCCAGTAGTAGAAAAACACACAAAAAATAGGTAGAATTAACTTTAATAATATATCTTTTTTTTAAAGATTTATTTTATTTGAAAGTCAGAGTTATACAGAGAAAGAAGGAGAGGCAGAGAGAGAAAGAGGACCTCCATCCGCTGGTTCACTCTCCAGATGGCCACAACAACCAAAGCTGTGCTGATCCAAAGCCAGGAGCCAGGAGCTTCTTCCTGGTCTCCCACGTTTGTGCAGGAGCCCAAGGACTTGGGCCATCTTTTACTGCTTTCCCAGGACATAGCAGAGAGCTGGATCGGAAGTGGAGCAGCCGGGACTTGATGCAGCACCCATATGGGATGCCGGCACTGCAGGCGGCAGCTTTACCTGCTACGCCACAGCACCAGCCCCAATGATATATCTTAACTTACTATATCCAAAATATTATTTCTCCAAGTTATCAATATAAAAAAAGAATATTTTTAATTCAATAAAACCACTCAAGTCATTTCAGACTGGCCTCATTTGAAGTGCTCAACTGCCAATGGTTGGTGGCTACCTTATTATACACTATACATTAGATATCTTTATTGGTTGTAATGTAAATTTTTCCATCTTTTATCCTTTACTGCTTTCCTAATTCTAACTTTTATGTAAAAAAAAAAAAAAAAACCACATTCACCTATAAGGAAGAATCAAAAAAATCAGTTGTAACTTTTGAAAATATTCAGCAAATAACCATTTAGAAAGAAAAAATTTCCCACTTCTCAACTGAAATAGCACTTCATGTTAATCCTTTGGTATAGAAAAAAGCTTAAGCTCCCAATCAGGTATTATTTAAGACATGGAGCACAAAAAAGTATGTGAAAAAGGAAAAATTACTTAAACATACAGTCTAAGCTAATTTTTGATAAATGAAAATACTAGAGATTTCAACTATAATTTTCAGCAGGCGAGATGAAGTATTTACTCTCATATGACAAAAATCTTCAAATTGTAAAAACGACAAAATTAAATAAATCAAGTCAAAATAGCTGTATGGATAAGACTTCTTTTGTTCCTTGAGCATAATGATACATGATCTTCCTAGTTTTCCCTCTAAAATTTACTACTTTACACATCATCCCAACTTTGGTGATTTTTCACAAAACCTTTGGGAAAACCGTGGAAATGATCATATGTCCTAAGGCCAAAATTTGCCTTTTACTTTCTTTTGGCTAAACTCTTCTCCAAAATGTAGGTTTTGGAACACATTTGACTCCATGTACATAGACTGATTAACATGGAATGGATAATGCAAATCTGTTTTTCAACAGGGCATTTTATTCCATAATATTTTAAGCTTCCTCATAGAACTATAATTGTGTTCAATTAAAAATGAATGGAAGAGAAGTATTTTCCCAGTCTTCTATGGTTAAAATGGAAGAAATTGGTACGTGAAGCACAAGTGATACATTTTGTGAATTTATTGCAAGGAGACTAACTAAATTCAATGAATTTCAATTTTTATTATTAACTAAATAAACTAATTGTGTAAGAAAAAAATCAGAAAAATTATTACAATATTTGTACCCAAAGTTAGTTTTACTATTATTATTTTAAGAAATATAAAAATTAAATGAAATTTTGGAGGCAGAAGGGACCCTTGGTGGGTACCTGGTCTCTACCTGAAGAGATTCAATAACTTGTTCAATGTCTTACCAGTAATTCATGCCAGGCTTGGATCGATAGTGGTCTTATAAAGGGAAAAACTGGGATTAAATTTAGGTAGTTTGGCTCAAGAGACCATGTTCTTACTCAGGACACTAGACCACCTTCTCAATAAAACCCAGTTCTATTATTTGAAGGCCATTATTTTTTTTTCATGGCGTTTTGTACTATTAATATGCAAATTTCAAACCGGGTCAAATGAAGCCTTTAGAGAAATTATAGACTTTTATCTCTCTGGACATATCCCTATAAAATATTGTAATAACTTTAATTTGTGGATGGAATGGAAATAACTGTCATAGAATTCATTTTTCTTTTAAAACAGAAAAGACAATGAGAAACTAAGCAATACTGAGGAAAAAGGACCATGTCTCAGCAGCCTAGGCAGACAGCAATCTGAAAGGCTGTTGCAAATTAACTCAGATCTTAATTACGTCAAACATTTGTTTCTTATTCCTAGAAGAATGAATCACTTCACAAGCATGATAATGGCTATAGATTATTGTTCTAGAAAAATGCTTATGCATTCAAAAATTCTATGAAACATTCTCAGTATCTGCAGAATCTAGATGAAAGAAATTCTGCACTATGAAGTCTCTCAAACCATTCTGACAATCTCTGAGTCTCTATAGTCTTAGGGTGTGATGGTTTCTAGACTATGTTCTCTTAACATGTAGTGTAACATTATATGCTTAGAAAATGTAAGTGATTTGTTTTATTTCTAAAAATTTCATTGAAATTATATTTAGTATGTTCATAATAACTCTCTTATGTGGAGAAAGAAAAACAAAATATGCAAAAGTAGCTTCTCTAGCTACTTTAAGAATGTCCTATTTAGGAACATAATTTCCAAATAAAAAAAGAAACCCATCAACATGTAGCATTCATACATAATACATAATACAGTTAGCTAATTATTAAAATTCATATTGGTCTCAGTAGGAAATGGCTATGTTTTGGGTAGCATTTATGGTATACTCAATAAAATTCAATGTTGACAATATGTGAACTACAAGCAAGCTATTTCTTAAAAACAAATTCATCTACGGGCAGATCATTAAACCCTTACACAGATAGTCTTAATTCCCTTTTCTCATGCATAATAAGCAAGCGAAACAAATACAACGACATTTAAAACAATATAAATGAATTAAGTATTTCTTAAATCTTCTAAATCATGTGTATATATGAAAAAATGATTTAATCCTCAGTATCTCAATCTTATAAATATCCTTAAGAGAACGTTACTGCTTTTAAAAGTGTTTTTAGCTTAGTTTCATATTTCCATTTCTCTTACCTCTTGATCTTTTTCAGTTTTTCTTTCTAGAGCTTCAAATTCATCCAAATCATTCTTTTCTTTTAATTTCACTGTCAATTCTTCATTTTCTCTTCTTAGTTGTTCATAATCTAATACTAGGTTATCATATTTAGCACGAAGTGAGTTTAAATCACTTTCTAAGTTTTCCTATTATAAACAAAAATATTTTTTAGTCAGAAGGAACTCAAATTACATAATTTTTGTCACTTTAACTAAAAACTTACATAGGATTATATAGTAAAATGTTGAATTATTTGCTGGCTTAGACCATTTTCTTTTTCAATATCTTTCTAACAGTCTACATTTTAGCAACTTGCTAACTTGGAATAGTATTTTTGAAAGGAGTATTATTAAAAAAAATCATATAAGTAAATCAAAAGTCTGCCCTATATGGCGAGTTCAACTGGGGAAATAGAGTGAATATTCGGAGCCTATCTGACCACAAATTCTTAAGCTGCTCAATAATAAAGCTAATCATTTAATTCCCCATGTGATGGCTTTGAATTAGGGAAGGTAAACATTGTTTATTTAACTCTAAAATTCTAATGGTGGCAATTCTTACGTTCAACAAGGCCTGTTTCTACTTTCTATATCTTTATGAGTACAGACAAACTATCGATTTAAAAAATTTTTACTAGGGCTTAAAAACAAAACTGACTTCTACAGTGTATTTTAGGGACACAAAAGCACTTTGGCTGTAACATTTTATAGGCATTAATTAATAGTGTCTATCATTGATGAATGGATAAAGAAAATGTGGTACATGTATACCATAGAATACCATTCAAACATCAAAAGGATGAATTCTTGTCATTGCAACACAGCAAAGGACCTCACAATCTCATTCCTTTGTGGAATCTAAAAAGTTGATTTCACAGAAGGTATGAGTAGAATGGTAGTTACCAGAGATCTGGGAGAGTAGTTGGGGAGGAAAAAGTGGGGAAGGGTTGATTAATGGGTACCGAGTCAAACTTTGGTAGGAATAAGAAGTTATGGTGTTTGGTTGCATGGTAGGGTGACTATAGATAATGATCATGTTCTGTACACTTCTCTGTCTTTAAAACAAACAAAGAACTAGAGGAAAGGATTTTGAGAGTGTTCACCAAAAAAGAATTTTCAGTGTTTCAGGAGACACATATATTTACTCTGATTGGACATTATACAGTGTATAGAAACATCATGATATTCCATAAATCAGTACAATTTTTACATGCCAGTTTAAAATAAAAAACAAAAGTAAAAATACTTCAAACTAAGAAACAATAATAATAATTACCAGGAAACTCTGTAACAGCATTCCAAAAGTAAAATGAATTTTATTTAATAAATACATGCATACAACTTTATGTCTTTGAAAATGAGCAACCTTTAAAATAAATATAGAATCAAACTCATTGAAATATTCTATATGGTATTCCTTAAAGTATTTCTTAAAGTTTTGCTAAGACCATATACAGTTGGCCTTGTGTATCTGTGAGTTCCACATCTACTGAATTCAGCCATCTGCAGAATGAAAATGTCATTAGGCCTATGATAGTTGCATCCATACTGAACATGTACAGTCTCTTTTTTAACAGTTTTTTCCTTGTAATGATCCTCTAAAATATATAGTATAATAGCTATTTACTAGCATTTACATTGTGTTAGATATTATAACTAATCTAAAGATGATTTAAAATATATGGAAAGAAATGCACAGGTTATATGCAAATACTACACCATTTTATAGACAGAATTTCAGCAGCTGTGGAATTTGGTATCTGTGGGTAGTCCTAGAAAATAGCCCCCAGAGGTATCAAGGGATGACTGAACAACACATTCACCTCTAGTTTTCAGTTTTATCTAGGAAAATTACCCCTTGCTGATGTATCATCCTTCTACTATATACCTGAGAATTTTGACACTTTAAAATCAGTTTTTTGCCTTCATAGGATGTCCTAAGTCAAAGCAGAAACTTTAAAAACCTCATAGATACTAAGATTTGCTGGTAAAGAGCTGGAGGCAAAGGTTTGCTATTAGCACACGCCTGCCTTTTGTCAAGTTTTTATCCTCCTTGTAGATGTTTCATGGTGATCAACTACAAGTAAAGAGTGAACGAACCAGAAATGAAACCCTTTCTGAAAGTAACTCAGAACCAGCAATATGCTACAGCAACAATAATACCCAATAACAAAATAATTTTCAAAAGAGGAATATACATTGAGTTACCTGATTTAGTATCTTCGTTGCTGAGTTCCACTCCATCTCAGTCAATGTATCAAGGGTGTTGCTGAAGATATCAGATTCTAAACAGAGTGCTATAATCAGGGGGAAAAGAAATTTTTGCAAAAATACATTATAAAATTTCTGAAAAGTCCAAATAAAGATTACTAAAAAAATTCTGGCCAGAGGTAATAAGAAGCTCAAATTAGCTAGTATGTGCTCAGACTATGAATGTCAAAAACACAATAACAGCAGATGTGATGATTTATATTATTGCAGATATTAAGATCGCTGGCTAGAATTTGTGAAAAAATATAGGATTCTTTTTTTTTTTTTTTGACAGGCAGAGTGGACAGTGAGAGAGAGAGGCAGAGAGAAAGGTCTTCCTTTGCCGTTGGTTCACCCTCCAAAGGCCGCCTTGGCCGGCGCGCTGCGGCCAGCGCACCGCGCTGATCCGAAGGCAGGAGCCAGGTGCTTCTCCTGGTCTCCCATGGGGTGCAGGGCCCAAGTACTCGGGCCATCCTCCACTGCACGCCCGGGCCACAGCAGAGAGCTGGCCTGGAAGAGGGGCAACTGGGACAGAATCCGGCGCCCCGACCAGGACTAGAACCCGGTGTGCTGGCGCCGCAAGGCGGAGGATTAGCCTAGTGAGCCGCGGTGCCGGCCGAAAAAATATAGGATTCTTAATGCAATGTAGGTAAAGAGTACAAACTTTGAATATGAGATATTATCAGTGCAAATAGATTTTAAGATACCACCAAAAAATACATTATGATACTGTAGATATAATTTTGAAACAGATTTCTATATAAATGCCATCCTTTTAGGATTAGCAAAGTTGAAGGCAGATATGACATGAATATTGTACTAATTTAATTGGATAATGATTAGATGCGTTTAATGTATTTCAACTACAGTGCACCACTGTTAAACAGATTTGCAATAGATAACAGGAGTGTTTATTTTCTTAAAATGACTATACTTTTATCAAAATCTCCATCGTAATTATATAAAAAATACATATTTAATTTAAATATGTATTTTATTTTAACTGTTATTAGTTTGTCTCTATAATGAAAAGTAGTCCCACTTGAAAAAAACACTTACATTCATCAATTTCTCCTAATGCAGGCATGGCTGTCTTATTTGTTTTTGTTGTTACATTTTTTGGCAAATTGAATTCATTTACGTAGTTTGAGTCCTTCATTTTGTTAATTTTGCCAAAGCACCAAGTAACTCTTCTCTTTCTTTTAGCCTAAAGAAAAATGAAGTCAAAATTATCTCTTATAGTTCTGGACTACAATAAAAGAAGGGAACTCTAGTTTCTGTCTTGAAAAACCATTCACTAGGTAGAATTCTTATTAAGACAAATTTAATACCTTACCAGTCTACAGATATTCTGAGATAAGAAAATAGGGGCCAGTGTTGTGACCTAGTGGGTGAAGCCACTGCCTACCGTGCCAGCATCCTATATGGGCACTGGTTTGAATCCTGGCTGCTCTGTTCCAATCCAACTCCCTGCTAATGTGCCTGGGAAGGCAGTGGAGGACGGCCCAAGTGCTTGGGCCCCTGCACCCACGTGGGAGACCCGGGAGGAAGAAGCTCCTGGCTCCTGGCTCCCAGCTCCAGCCATTGTGGCCATTTGGGGAGTGAACCAGTGGCTGGAAGATCTGTCTTTCTCTCTAACTCTGCCTTTCAAATAAATAAATACATAAACCTTAAAAATAAGATACAATGGAGGGGTCAGTGCTGTGGTGTAGCTGGTAAAGCCACCTCTACAGTGCCCGCATCCCATATGGGCACCGGTTCGAGTCCTGGCTGCTCCACTTCCCATCCAGCTCTCTGCTATGACCTGGGATAGCAGTAGAAGATGGCCCAAGTACTTGGGCCTCTGCATCTGCGTGGGAGACCCGGAGGACACTTCTGGCTCCTGACTTTGGATCAGCACAGCTCTGGCCGTTGTGGCCAATTGGGGAGTGAACCAGTGGATGTAAGACTCTCTCTCTGCCTTTCCTTCTCTCTCTGTGTAACTCTAAATTTCAAATAAAAAAAATATAAATTTTTCAAATCAGTCTTTAACACCAAAATAAATTTGTAAAGCTACATTTAAATTTCATGTAAAAATTATTTTTATTTACTTCAAAGGCAGAGATAGCAACAGGCAGAGAGGTCTTCTACCTGCTGGTTCACTCCCCAAATGCCTGCAACAGCAAGGGCTGGGCCAGGCTGAAGACAGGAGTGCAGAATCCAATCCAGGTCTCTCATGTGGGTGGCAGGGGCCCAAGTACTTCATCCAGCATTTTGTCTCCTATGGTTTGCATTACCAGGAAGCTGGAATCTGGAGTGGTGTTGGGATTTGAACCCAGACACTCTGATATGGGCCACCCCAAGTTTCATTTTCTAAATTTTCTAGCTAATCTGAGACTAATTTAAAAGGGATTTTTGTCTCACAATGTTTAAATCTGGTGTTACACAGAAAGAACAGCTGCTGTTGCCATCGTCAATGACCCAAAGCTATACCTTTGGGTACCCAGCTGTAACTGAGAAGGTAGAGATGGGGCTAATATCAAGGTAGCCCATTTGATTTTCCTTCAGTAAATGAACTTTTTCATAGAGTCCTTCATAATGTCAATTCTCTTCCAAATCGCTTGACAAAGCAAATGCCTCTACCAATGCTCCCAATCTTGTACCTTCCTTTTACTTGAGACCTTGCTCCTTCAGATACCTGTTCATCTGTCATCTCCACTGGCTCCCTCCTCCTAGCTTCACAAATACTCAAGCTTCTCTGTTTCCTTGTACTATCTTTTTAAAGAAAATATTTATCTTTTATTTATTTATTTGAAAGGCAGAGAGACAGAGACAGCCAAAGAGAGAGAACTCAGATCCTCTGGTCTACTCCCCACTGAAGCCTGGAACTGGGAACTCAATCTAGGTTTCCTGTGGGGGTGGCAGGAGTCCAATTAGCAGGGTGTGTATTAGCAGGAAGCTTGAGTCAGGAGCCAGAGCTGTGAGTTGAACTCAGGTACACTGATGTGGTGGATGGCTGTCTTAACTGCTGGGCCAGACACCTGTTCCCACTCTTGACTCCTTATCTGGCTCCCGCTACTCTTTTCATTTTGATCCTACCACTCACTCATTCTTCATAGCTTGAGAGAGCCCTCTGTCTCTTGTTTCTTTTAAGATTTATTTATTTATTTGAAAGGCAGAGTTTCAGAGAGGCAGAGGCAGAGGCAGAGAGAGATCTTCCATCTGCTGGTTCACTCCCTGAATGGCGGGAATGGTTGGAGCTGCGCTCATGCGAAGCCAGGAGTTATTTCTGGGTCTTCCATGTGGGAACAGTGGCCCAGGCACTCGGGCCACATTCTATTGCTTTTCCAGGCCATAGTAGAGAGCTGGATGGGAAGTAGAGCATCCAGGTCTCGAACTGGCACTCATATGGGATATTGGCACTGCAGGTGGTGGCTTTTATCTGCTCCGCTACAGCGCTGGCCCCTCTTGTTTCTTAGTTCTTATTTTTTATCTGGCTAGTTGTCCTTTCCACTCAGGTTACTGCTTTCTCTTTTTCTGTCTGCCTCTTAAGTGTTTGTGTCTTTCCAGGTTTCACAGTCAATATTTGTCTTCTTTTGATATTTTTATTTTATTTTAAAGATTTATTTATTTGGGGCTGGCACCACGGCTCAATAGGCCAATCGTCTGCCTGCAGCGCCGGCACACTGGGTTCTAGTCCTGGTCGGGGCGCCGGATTCTGTCCCGGTTGCCCCTCTTCCAGGCCAGCTCTCTGCTGTGGCCCGGGAGTGCAGTGGAGGATGGCCCAAGTCCTTGGGCCCTGCATCTGCATGGGAGACCAGGAGGAAGCACCTGGCTCCTGGCTTTGGATCAGCGCGGTGTGCCGGCTGCAGCAGCCATTGGAGGGTGAACCAAAGGTAAAGGAAGACCTTTCTCTCTCTCTCACTGTCCACTCTGCCTGTCAAGAAAAAAAAAAAAAAGGATTTATTTGAAAGCCAGGGTTACAGAGAGGAGAAACAGAGAGAGACAGCTTTTTTGCTGGTGCTGGTTCACTCCCCAAATAGCCACAACAGCTGGTCTAGACCAAGCTGATGCCAGGAGCCAGAAGCTTCTTCTGGGTCTCCCATGTAGGTACATGGGCCCAAGGACTAGAGTCATCTTCCACTGCTTTTAGGTGCGTTAGCAGAGAGCTGGATGGGAAGTGGAGCAGCTGGGACTTGAACCAGCAACCAAATGGGATACTGGCACTGCAGAAGGTGGTCTCTTTTGTTGAACCACAGCACTTGGTGCTTTTTTCTTTTTATTTACTTGGGGACTGGCACTGTGGTGTAGCAGGTAAAGCTGCTGCCTACAGTGTTGGCATTCCATATTGGGCGCTGGTTCGAGTCCTAGCTGCTCCACTTCTGATGCAGCTCTCTGCTATGGCCTAGGAAAGCAACAGAAGATGGCCCAAGTCCTTAGGCCCCTGCACCCGCGTGGAAGATCTGGAAGAAGCTCCTGGCTCCAGTTTCTGGATTGGCGCAGCTCCAGCCGTTGCAGCCATCTGGGGATTGAACCAGTGGATGAAGACCTCTCTCTCTCTGTAACTCTGCCTTTCAAATAAACAAATCTTTAAAAAAAAAATTATTTATTTGAAGGGCAGAGTGACTGAGAGAGAGGGAAATACAGAGAAAGAGTTCCTCCATCTACTGATTCATTCCTAAAATGGCTGCAACAGCCAGGGCTGGGCCTCACTGAAGCCAGGGCCAGGAACCATATTTGCACCTCCCACAAGAATGGCAGGGGCAGAGGCATTTGGGCTGAAGCACTTGAGCCATCCTCTACTGCTTTTCCTGGCACATTGGCAAGCAGCTGGAGTGGAAGTAAAGCAGCTGAGACTGGAATTGGTGCTCTGTTACAGAATGTTGGTGTTGCAGGTGACAGTTTACCCTGCTATGTCAAAATGCTGGTCTCAGTCAATACTCTTTTAGTTCCTTTCCTATTTCCAAGGATCATCTGATTGTATTTAATCCTTTTGGCATACTTTGAGTTGGGATCTGCTACTATATTCTTTTTATAGTTGACTTGGGTACTCAGCCAATTTGGAGAAGTTGTGTCAGCCTGAATGGCCAACTGGTGACAGGGCCCATGTCTATGACTTCACTAGCCCATCCATGTAACCACTCCACTACAATGCCTCTCAAGATGACTTGTTTTCCCCAGAATAGACTGCATGCCTTTATGCCTTACTACATGCTGCCTGTTTGCTCGAAATGGCCAGGCCTCTCCACAACCTACACTGCAAAATCTCAGTTGTATATAACTCCTTAAATCCAGTGACTTTCAGCTTAAGTCCTTTTGCTCCCTAAGCCACAGCTAGATCTTGTCATTATTTGAAACTCAAACCTAGACCTCTTGGTCTTGCTACAGCTGCTATCCTTTCACCTCATTTACATGAATGGTTCTATCACAGCTATTTTGCTTAACAGAGACCTGTATTTCCTTGTCATACCACTTGCCAATTCCCTCCTGGTTCTCACTCCATCATCTCAGATTTCATTGATCAGCACCTTCAATCATTTTTGATATCAAAATCGTCAAATTATTCAACTTATTCTGTCTCTCAAACCTATACCCACAATGTACACGCAGATAAATATACCACTTTTTAAGCCCTTATCAGTCTCCTGACCATATATATGCAGAGCGATACAGGCAGAAAAGTGGCTCCCAGCATTAATCAGGTCCTTAATGCTGCCCAGCAGAACCCTTCTCTTGTCAGCTTTCTTTTCCATTTCCTAAGAAAGCTAGACTATGTCAAACCCTTGGTATCTCTTGGTAACTTGTGACCCCACTACCACCTGCCACACAGTAGAAAAGCTAAACCCATTTCACAAGTGAAATATAATCCTAAACTTAAATTTTTAAGATTCTAATCCTTTGGGCCATTTTAAGCCACATGACAGTTTTCACCTTTATCATATAACTCAAATTGCTTTTGCCATTGAGCTCCTTATTTCTAAACATAAAGTATCTTTGTCTATCTTTATCTTATTTAACTTCTTGGCAGAATGTGAAACCACTGACCACTACTTCCCTGGAATATACTCTTCCTTCAGCTACCACATTCACCTGGTTTCCTGAACTCTGGAGCTGAACCCAGGCTCCTTTATGGATTTTTTTTTCCTGCCTTTACCTAAAATTTGGTGCATGGGGTTTTCTACCCTTGACCCTCTATTGTTTTCAACAGGCCCATCTATTTCCATGGTGGTAATCTGGATTTGCAATAGTTAATGTGCAAACTAATTTTATCTCAGATCTTCTCTCATTTCCAATGGCCTGACACCTCAAACTGAAGACTTCCACGTAAAACACTAAGCAACTCCACTGCTCTTTACGGTGTTTCCTGATGGATACTGCTGCTATAGTTACCCAGCGAGCCAAGTAATGCAAATCACTCTGGACATCTCCTTCTCCCTTTCTCTGCCATCCACATCCAAAGGATCAAAAGTCCTGGAGTCTATCTTCCAAATAGCTCTCCATCTTATACAATTCACTCCCTTCTCCAGAGCCACAATTCCTGTAGAGACCCAACCACCCTCATCTGCATGGCAGCTGCACCTTTCTAATCTGTAATTCTGATATCAACTACAAGGTTTCTCTTTATTCTTGGTATAATGTCATGAACCTTCAAGTACCTCAATGTGGTTTAATATGCCTTTGCCACCAGAACATTTTAAAGTACAAAGAATGTTTCATACTTGCCCACAACTCCAAGATTTTTGAAAGGTAAGCCTCTTCCTAAAATATTTTTCCTCGCTTTCTATTGGGTTATTTCCTATGTATTACTCAGTCAACTGAAAGTTCTTGATTGTCCTTTTTTTTTGACAGGCAGAGTGGACAGTGAGAAAGAGAGACAGAGAGAAAGGTCTTCCTTTTGCCGTTGGATCACCCTCCAATGGCCGGCGCACTCTGGCCGGCACACCGCACTGATCCGAAGCCAGGAGCCAGGTGCTTCTCCTGGTCTCCCATGCAGGTGGAGGCCCCAAGAACTTGGGCCATTCTCCACTGCCTTCCTGGGCCATAGTAGAGAGAGGGGCAGAATCCGGCGCCCTGACCGGGACTAGAACCCAGTGTGCCGGCGCCGCAGGTGGAGGATTAGCCTATTGAGCCATGGTGCCGGCTGATTGTCTTCTGTGTACTTAATAGGGTGTCTTGCACATAATGCCTATTAAATATATCATTAGCTGGCACTTACTAAGGATTTGTTGTGTATAAAGTATTGGGTTAAGCACATTCTATTACCTCATTTAATTCTCACAACAACCCTATCAGGTGAGTATAAACCTATCTCACAGATAAGGAAACTACAGAGAAGTGAATTCAAGTGACTGGCCAACATCAAGAGTTAGGAATTGACAGAACTGGGATTTAAAAGAGTTGGATAAATAAACCCCTGTTGTAGAAAAGTAAGCACACAAATTGGAAGCCAGAATTTTGATCATCAAACTGATTTATATTCTAGATCAGTTTTCCTGAGATTAATATTTGTTTCTTTAAATAGAAATCCCATATAACCTAAAGACCTGTGGTTCCCAATCTCAATTGATTTCATTAGCATTTAAAGCCTGTTGCAAATAGATTCTTTATATCCTGGACTTCTTGAATTAGAATTTCTATACATGGGAAACGAGAATTGGTATTTTTTAAATTTTATTTTTACTTTAAGAATAATTTTATTCATTTTGAAAGACGGGGAGAGAGAAACAGAAAGATATATCTCCCAACCAATGATTCACTACCCAAAGGCAACAGGCTGGGCCTACTCTCGGCAAAGCTGGGAGCTAGCAACTCAATTTAGATCTTCCACATGGGTTTCAGGAACCCAGAAACTTAAGCCATCACTTGTGTTTCCCAGGGTTCTTGTCAGCAGGAAGCTGGAATGGGAAGTAGAGATGGGGCTAGAACCCAGGGACTCTGGTATGGGATGCAGGTGTCCCAAGGGGTGTTGCTACACTTCTGCATCAGGGATCATTATTTTTAATGAACTGTTGAAGTGGTTGTTGATGAATAGGCAAATTTATAAATAATGTTCTGGGCATCATAATTATACTATATCAAAAGTAAGTACATAACTATATAGTGAATGTACAGAAATGTCAATTCTCCTCTGTCTATATCAAGTTTGAGCTGCCATCTTTTGAATTTTACCTTTAATTCCTGCTGTGATGTAAGGGAAGAAGAGGTCACGAGCATCCGTGTTAAGTTTTGAATTTTCTCATCCTGTACTTTTTGAAGCAGATCTTTTTCATCCAAAAGTTGAGCCAGTTGGTCTTTCTCCATTTCCTGGGCCCGAGTCTTTATATTTACCTAAATAATATACCACTGTTAATAACATATGTAGCTAGACTAAAATTTTTTAAGTGGCTTAAAAGAATATTAAATTTGTATGTGAACTATGAGAATTTTATTGAAATAAAATATATCCTGCCTGAAAAACTCCAATATTTCCTCAAACTTAAAAGTAAAATCTGTATTTCTTCTTGTATCACTATTCTGTACTCCATCTCTAAGGTTATAATAATACTGTTAAAGCAAATCTATTAATTGCCTAAGAAAATTTGAATAATAGGCAGAGAAGTCATAAAAGTAGATAATTGAATGCCAATGGCAAAAGTATAGATGGTCTCACTTTGCTTGTATGGTTACTTAATAGCTTTTAGTTTATTTTTAGAAAGGTCACTAAGATGTAAGATTTTTACAAATGGGATCACAATAGTTAAAATAAAAAAATTAGAATGACATGTTGAGTATGCTATATTATTGGATTGCCATCTTTGGGTTAGAAGAAAAATACAGGAGAACATGAAAATACAGAAGGTAGGTCTGAGTAACTATACATGGTCTCTCTTTTCAACTGAATTCTCTATGTATTTGTGAAAAATTTGTAAAAAGCATCTGCACTTGATTCATTTGAAAATCCCAAATTTAGTCCTTTGGAAATGAAAATACATTCTAAAATAATTTCAAGAAACAGCATCTTCTACTTTAGAGTAAATTCAACTAAAATTTTTGAGTTGACTCATTTTGAAGAACTGTTTTGAACTTAGGTTGTGGCAACTCAGATACTGATGAACTAAACCTGTGAGCATTTGAGCAGTTCTCCTTCCTAAATTGGTCCCTACTGTTTACCAAAATAAATGACTCATACATACCTCCTCTAATTGTCTTTTAAGATCCACTATTTCTTTTCTATATCTTTTCAGGAGAGCTTCATCACTTGACACTTCATTAACATAAGGAGTATTCTTCATATATTTAGCAGTGCTGGCAAACTGGGAAAGCAATATAAATTGTAAGGTGTTCAATCCTAAAATAGTTCTCATTTAATGAATAATGTTAATTAATGAATAACCTTAATAACATTAAGGTTAATTAATTAATAACATTGAGGTTAATTAATTAAATAATCTTAATAACATTAAGGTTTCTTACAGTCAAGTTTCTTAAAAAAAAAAATCAATACTATGCCTAGTTGTCTTAACATTTTTGAATATACTGGGCATTCTAGATCCTTATATCAGTGCTGTGCAACTTTGGCTGATAGTTTTCAGGAGAGTAAGGAAAAAAAAAAATCACCAACAGAAAACTTACAAGTGCAACCTTACTGGAATCTGCCCCTTAAGGTCTAGTGCAAACGCTCTCTCTACTCTGAAGCTCCACTTACAGCCAAAAGTATCTTCCCTTTGAATCCTATCCAACTTATCAGCCATCTAACAATTATTCCAAGAAATCATGTTGAAGACATATCTCATCTGCCCTACTGATTCTGAGAAGCACAGGACTATTCTTTTCTATCTTTGCATTGCTGACAGTATTTTGATCCAGTGTTCAACAGGAAACAGCCATTTAAAGCAATGTTTCTCAGGGTATCAGTACCAGAAATAACGTTAAGTGGGTATACCTTTATATATTTCCTTTTTTCTTTTTAACAGAAAATGCAAATGTTAGGTTCAGCTAGCAGGAATTTAGTAAGTTAAGTACAATAATTATAATAAATCAATATAAATAATTATAAAAAATTAATCAAAAAGTGAGTTACTTAAAAATATCAAGAAAATAGCACAACATGTGGCAAAAATTTTGGAAGTGGGATACAAATGACTGATTCCAGGATATGTCAGTTAATAAATGTACTTAATTTTAGGTTACATTTTTGATTTTTCCCCAAAATAAATTCACATAAAAACTAAACTCACCTGGAGAGTAGTAAGCGTTTCATCAAAAGACACCGGAGTAATTGTGCAGATAATACGTGTTTTTGCATTTCCTCCCAAGGAATTCTGGAGAATTCGTGTTAATTTGCTATCCCGATAATTTATAAAACCACTTAGCAAGAAATGATTTGGGAAGAAAAAGATTAAGAATTTTTATATAATAAAAGTTGGTTCTTAAAGTAGAACACTTAAACACAGTGTTATGATGCAGATCAAGATTACTATTAAAAGGACAGTGTTGTAGTGAGGTGAGATAAGCTGTTGCCTGCAAATCTCCCATCAAAGCACTAAGTTGTTACTGCTCTGCTTCTTTTTTTTTTTTTTTTTTTTTTTTTGACAGGCAGAGTGGACAGTGAGAGAGAGAGAGACAGAGAGAAAGGTCTTTCTTTGCCGTTGGTTCACCCTTCAATGGCCGCCGCGGCCGGCGCACCGCACTGATCAGATGGCAGGAGCCAGGTACTTATCCTGGTCTCCCATGGGGTGCAGGGCCCAAGTACTCGGGCCATCCTCCACTGCACTCCCTGGCCACAGCAGAGAGTTGGCCTGGAAGAGGGGCAACCGGGACAAGAATCAGCACCCGACAGGACTAGAACCCGTGTGCTGCGCGCAAGCAAGATAGCTAGTGAGCTGCTGCGCCGGCGGCTGCTCTGCTTCTGACCCAGCTCCCTGCTGATGTGCCTAGGAAAGCAGTGGAAGATGATCCAAGTACTTGGATTCTTGCCACCCACGTGGGACACCTGGATGGAGCTCAGGCTCCCAGCTTCAGCCTGGCCCAGCCCCAGCCACTGAGGCCACTTGGGGAGTGAAGCAGAGGGTCCAAGATCTCTTAATCTGTCTCTCTCTTTCTATTATTCTGCCTTTCAAATAAACCTTTAGAAAAATTACTAAGAGGGGTTGACGCTATGGTGCAGCGGGTTAAAGCCCTGGCCTGAAGCGCCGGCATCCTATATGGGAGCCAGTTCTAATCCCAGCTGCTCCTCTTCCGATCCATCTCTCTGCTATGGCCTGGGATAGCAGTGGAAGATGTCCCAAGTCCTTGGGACACTGCACCCACATGGGAGACCCGGAAGAAGCTCCTGGCTTCAAATCAGCACAGCTCCGGCCAGTGCAGCCATCTGGGGTGTGAACCAGTAGATGGAAAACCTCTCTCTCTGTCTCTACCTCTTTCTGTAACTCTTTCAAATAAATAAAATAAATCTTTAAAAAAAATTACTAATGAAAGTTGAAAGTAAAATCAGTAGGTCACTCACATTCATAGGTGTAAGACACCATACTCAGAGGATCCTCTAACTTTTGAATATATAGAAGAAACATGCTGGAGTATTCCTAAAGTATTGCAATTTTCAAAGTAACAAACAACTTTAGAACAGGAATACACTTACCCAACTTGTCCATCACTAAGTTTCTTGATCACTTGCCCCAAAATAAATAAGCTTCGATTTATATTGCAGCCTTCCTTGAGTCGTACACCTGTATTTATTAAATAAATATGAAAAACCAAATCTATATTAGATGATTAACTTTTTATTAGCAATTTATCAGAAATTAAAGGGTCAGATGCTGAAGTCTATTCTTTGGATTGGATCTGAGCCCACCTTTAATATAACTGGTAGGAGCTCTCTTCCCTCCCACCTGCTAGGTGAATCAGCAAGGTTAGCATCTGAGAAGAACAGCAAAAGAAAAAAATCACTAAGAAGAGGGAGGAAAAGCCTGTTTGCCATAAGGGCACCTCTTAACTCCTCAGTTCAAACCTACTTTTCCCCCAAATATTTTAATATAGGCAACCATGGGCTTACAACCAAATCAGTCCCAGCTTCTTTTTTTTTTAACTGTTAAAATAGCTTACATGGTTCATGAGTTTAAAATAAAAAAAGAACACACTCCAAAAAGCACCTTCTACTTTCATCCCCACTTCAGTAAGTTCCTGTCCTTCCACTAGAAGCCACTGTCATTATTTTATTCTTCCAAAGAGCTTTAAAAATATTTGTCCATACAATTTATTTTCCCCTTTGTTTTTTTTTATTCAAATAGTCACAGACTATATCCACTATCTTGTACTTTGCTTTTTTCACTTGGCAAAATTATCTTGGAAAAAGACTAGAATCTTTTAAGCTCTTTCTTATATTATACAATTCCACTATATGGACATATCAGAATTTATTTATCCAGTTCCCCACTGAAGGACATGTAGGTTTTTGATCTATTGCTTATACAAAAAACACTGTTATAATAAAGCTGAACAGATGGCATTTCACAGGTACATTAGTTAGCTATTGCTGTAATATTGCTACTTACCAAGGCAGCATAAAACAACAAGCATTTATTTCTTGCTCATGTGTAAGGATGCAGCGGTTTGGTAAATGTAGGCCAGGCTCAGTTGAATGGCTCTACATTAGGCTATAGGATGAAGTGCCATCTGCTGTTCAAATCTTTCACCTTACTTGGATTAGTCACTCTTCTTATGGTATATGGCAAGAGTACAGAGTGAGCTAAAACATTTAAGCATTATGAAATATTTATTTATACCCTTTGTCCAATTTCCTATAGCTTATCAGCCTTTCTTTTAAAGCTTCTGGACCTTGTTTAATAATTAGAAGAGTTCTTTCTCATTGCAAGTTGACTTCCATTAATTTTTATGGTTCTTCCTTTATGTTGAATTGCTTGAGCCATTTTTAATAGATTCCCTGCTGTACAGCTGTCATGCTTGAATCCAATTTATTATTTTTTTTCCCCAAATAGCAATCTGCTCACAAATAATATGCATTTTCCTTGTAAACATGAAGGGTCATCTTTATTGCATTCTAAGTTCTATATGAATCTGGGACTCTTGCTGTACCTGTTACTCTGTTTCACTGGGCTGATGTTCACACACTAGAATCACATTGCTTTCATTACTATGGCGCTACATTATGTCTTAAGATCTTACAGGGCTAAATTTCTACTCAGTGATCTTTTTCAGAATTTTATTGGTTAGTCTTGCCTATTTTGAAGTGTACATATAAAATGTACTTTTCATATTTTTATTTGGATTGTTAAATCTGGAAATTAATATAGATAGGCTGGGACAACTTTGTGGTTTTGAATCTTCCTACCCATTTTTGGGGCATGTCCCAGTTTTCAAAGCATTTTGTATCCTTTAGGTCTGATTTGAAGCTTTCCTTACAACAGTCCTATGTCATTTTTGTGCCAAGGTAATACATTTTTCAAGTTATTCCAAATTGAGTCATTTTGTCCCTATAACTGGTTTTGCTTATGAGAGCTACTAATATCTGTAAAGTAAATTTATTACCTTCCTTTCTTTATTTCTTTATTGGGTTTTTTGGCTTTCCACTTATTCTATTATGTGGATAAGGAGAATTGGACAAATTACATGCCTAGTCTTCCTCTAAAAAATTAAATCCCAAATAGCTAAATCTGGCACCAATCTTGATATTCTCCCCTAGATATATAGAATGAATGGCATATAATGCACTGTTTTTCATATACTAAAAAAATATTCTTGGACTGATTTGGATACTGCTCTTTTTTGGTGCATACCATGGTCATCTATAACCTTTGAGATTCAGTCCATATAAATTCTGGAAGAGCAAATATGTCAAGAAACAGTTTGCATATGTGGTAAGGATTCTGTAATCCTACAATCAGAACGTTAGTACTGGAAGAACACTTCCCATTACCTTTCTTTTCTTTCTTAATCTTTTTAGGAATTATGAAGGTTTAGATTGCTTTCATAGTACCCTCATGGACTTTTCAGCTACATAATCCTATCAATTACAAGGTTTTAGTTTTTTAAATGATGCTAAAGTAGCCCAACATAAATAATTAGCCAGATATAGATGCTAATTTTTATGTTAGAGACTTTTGTCAAAAAATTATTATTATTTAGAAACCTTATCAGTTTATAAAAATACTTTGTGCCCCCCCCTTTTTAACCAATAAGAAAACAGGAAGAAGACACCAAGACTAATGTATTTCATGGGTTTTCGTTACCTTCAGCTCCTGTTTGAGCAGCTCTCTCACTGCCTGCAAGATCAACCAAATTCTGCAAGATAGATGAAAATAAATCTTTAGGAAGGGTAATTTGAAATAGTAAAATTGAAACTACTGACAGGACATTTTAAATATATGGCATATCTCAATATCCCATCTGTATCCTTATCCCATATCCCACTATATAGGTATTTCCCTTTCTCTCTGACTTGGACTGGTCTCCACAGCTTGTTACCTCCTATTATTTGTATCCTCTATAATGCTGACAGACTAACTTTTGTTTCCTACACTAAATCCAAAATTCCACCATGACAAACATGATTCTTTAGAACTTGGCACAAGTAACAGCAGTTTTTGTTGTTCCCTTTGTTTAATTAGTACTATTGTCCTAGTATGCCCTTAATCCTTTTTCAGGAACAAACTATTCAAGCTAAGATCTAATGAAAAAGAGGAAGCCAGTCACGTCAAGACCAAGGCAAACTGTACTTTAGATAGGACACGAAGCAGAATGTGCTTGGTGTGTTTTACTCAAGAAAGAGAAGGGCTGGTGTTATGGTGCAGGGGTTAAACTGCTGCTTGGAACACTCGCATATCATGTAGAAGTGCTGTTTCAAGTCCCAGCTGCTCCTTATCCAGCTTCCTGCTAATTAGCCTGGGAAGACAGTGGATGATGGCTCAAGTTCTTAGGTCCCTGTCACCCATGTAGGGAATTTGGAGTTCCTGGCTCCCGGCATTTGCCTGGGCCCAGCTGTGGCCACTGTATGATTCTGGGGAATGAACCAGTGGATGATGGATCTCTCTGTCACTCTTTCAAAAATAATCTAGAAAGGGTACTGTGGTACAGTTGCTAAAGTGAAGATAGTAAAGACTAAAAAAGATAAATAGGTAGGGCCAGATTATACAAGACTTTATAAGCAAGATCAATTAACTCTGAATTTTCTAAATGCACTGGAAATGCATTGGAGGGTTTATGAAAGGTAACTACAGAACCTGATTTAACTTTCTAAGGTACCAACTCTGGGTGGAGAATGGACTGAAAAGAGGCATGAGTGGTTGGGGGCTGGCGCTGTGGTGCAGCGAGTTAAAAGCCCTGGCCTGAAGCGGCGGCATCCTATATGGGCACCAGCTCTAGTCCCGGCTGCTCCTCTTCTGATTCATCTCTCTGCTATGGCCTGGGATAGCAGCAGAAGATGGCCCAAGTCCTTGGGCCCCTGCACCCACATGGGAGACCCGGAAGAAACTCCTGGCTCCTGGCTTTGGATTGGCGCAGCTCCGGCCATTGAAGCCATCTGGAGAATGAACCAACGGATGGAAGACCTCTCTCTCTCTGCCTCTCCTCTCTCTGTGTAACTCTGACTTTCAAATAAATAAATAAATCTTAAAAGGAAAAAAAGAAGATATGAGAACTCAGAGACTGTGAATAAGTATGTGGCAGTCACTGACAAAGAAATGATGACAGAATGTCTGTGAGCAAGAACTTGAAATAACAAAAGGCTACAAAAGACTCCCAGAATTTTGTTAGAAGACACAGAAAAGACCAGGGAAGGACCAGAGCTAAGCGAATGTGGATATTTTCATCATTCCAAGGCCAGGAGACCATCAGGAAGCAACAGAAGATGACTCCCTGGGGAATATTCTTTCCAGGATTCTTATAGTAAGTGGGAAGCTGAAGGGCTGGCCCAGAAACACGGTCTACAGATGGCATAATTTAAAATTTCTCTTAATAGTTTGGTTTTAAAACTCCAGACATACTCAGTGATCAAGGGATTTGAGAAAAATCACCAAAGAGATACCTGAGTTATGCTGGGATTATTAAAATCCAAATTATTAAAAATTAAAATTATAGGGAATTATCACACTAGGATGGGAAAACAAAACAGATTAGATTTTGTTTCTTTGCTGTTAAAGTAAAACAAGATTAAAGTCTACTAAAAAAGTGACATGCTTTAACAGTCAAAGAAGTATAATGAATTTAGCACTGGATACTTTTACATAACATAAAAATGAATAAGCTTGTATTTTCTTCTTGTAAAGAAGAAAAAACTTGAATAATATCATTTATGTTTTAAACATCCTACCTAGATTTTTGTTGATCACACGAATCTAAATTATATGAGCTGAGATTAAAAAAAAATTCTCAAATTCTAAAAATTAAACACTTCAGTGTGTCTAGAAAGAAAAATCCTGCTTCATTGGTGGTTAGGCAAAGCCTCGGCCTCAGCCTTACCTTTTTCAGTTCTTACATCTAAATTTTAGGAAAGCAGCCATAATCTAATAGGAAGAAGGATTCTTTACCTTCTTCTTCCTGAAATATTTCAGCTGGGAATCTGATACTACTGACAAGACTAGGTAAACTGCCAATTTGAAGATTTTATTTTCCTATTTAGTTAACAGTTATTGAACCAAATATCTAGCAGCTACATTAAATTGTGTTGCCTTCCATGGTACATCATGATGGTTCCGTAATACTCACCAAATGGGAAACCTTGATAGACCCTTCACAATTAGATGGCTCGCCTTTTTCTCTGCTTTCTAAAATCTGCACAGAAAAGACAACTTGTAAAAAAATTAGTGCATTCTTATGTGGAAAGAACAATAGAAAAATAAAATTACCTACCATCCTAAAAATAGTATGAGAACGACTGCTTCTTTGATTCATTTTGGTAATTCCATAATGTCTGTTCTCTGTAAAAAGGGTTAGATTTTAGCAACATAATATATTAAAGACTAAAGGAAAACATTAATTTTTTAGTCTATTAATAAAAGGTGTGATTGGAAGACTATTTTGTTGTAATAATTTAACGTGTGATTTATAAGTTTTTTATGAATGTTCTGAAAAGTAAGAGTACAGCATAGTCTTACTTTCTCCTTTTGTTATCCATTTCAAAGCCATTTCTGATGTGTAAACAACTTCTTCGGTAAGATCAGCAACATATACATTCCTCTGAAACAAGTTTAATTTTGGAAGGATTAGAGAAATAGGAGTCACATAAAAGATGCGAACTACTATAGATTCACTTGTGGAAGTTAAAAGTAGAATTTGGAATCATTATTTCAAGAAAATCTATAAATACTCACATTTATTTCCTATACCAAAGCACACCAAATTGTAATCTATTTTGATCTTGCTATTTTTAGGCACCTAGCTCAAAATATTAGAGCTATCTATATTTTAAAATTATACATAGAAACTGCTTAAAATGTGGATCTCTATAACAAAAAGACTAACCACAGAAATAGGAGATGCTTAAAAAAAACAGGAATTAAAGGTAAATATTCAGAACAATAATCCTCTCAACTGAGACTGTATTAAAGCCACCATAACTCTGTTACTTACATTGATGTCCTCCCGAATTATTAAAGGCTTCATTTTTTCAGTGTTACAGAGTAAATCTGTAATGGTTTCATTGTATATCTCCATGTAAGACACACGCAGAAGAAATTCCCTATCAGGAAACTAACAGGAAAAATAATGTGAAAACATCGGAAAGCATCCATTTATAAAAACGTAAAATTGAATGCTTAAGTGCTAAAACTAAAGCAGTAAGAAGGGAAATTATTTCTACACAAAAAGCAAGATTCATGGTTCCTACTGACAATAATAAATACAAAGATACAGAAGCACTGTTTCAAAAATAGTAACAAGTATGTGATGATGAAACTGAGAGCACCTAGTCCAACTCTCTAGGCTCAAAATAAAACCGCACCAGTGAATTTTATCTTCATATAACTATTAATTTAAAACCAACTCTTACCTAATTAGGATGTATATTTGGTCATCTTTTCTTCTTTTACCTACTTCTATGTTTTATTGTTCTATAATAAACACCAATAGATAAACAAAAGCAAGGAGTAGCTAACAACTTTGACACGATTTTCCTGGTACTTAATGCTTAGTTTTTGTTGAGATTATTACTGTTGCAGGATTTAAGAGAAAGAATTTTAAATCTAATCATTGCTTTTCCCTGTATATACTATGAATTCAGCTAGCTTAGTTACCTTCTTAATTTTTTGGAAAATGTCATGAATTGCCCTGGGTATAACTCCCAAACAGTCTTCTGAACCCATCATTGTGTGTGTTTTTCCTGAAGCAGTCTGCCCATAGGCAAATATGGTACCTGCAAGAACAAAGCACACCCATGCAAGATTAAAATAAGTCTATACCAGGTAAAGCTATCAATGTGTTGAACAAATATCCAAGACTAAAATGTCATACAGCATTGAGTGAATACAAACCATTGTAGCCTTGTATGGCAGAGTCAATGATTGGTACTGCTATTTCCTCATACACATTTTTCGTGGTTTCATTACTGTGAAAGACACGATCTAAACACACATACAAAAAAAAAAAAGACACAGAAATTAAACAAATCAACCATAACTTCTTCCTGAATTATTAATACCCCCCCAAACAAAATTGTCAGGATCTATGATAAAATATTTAAGACTCAGTATTTTCTGTAAGTACGCTTCCCTAAGGTAAAATGTGTTGGCTCTCACATACAAAAAATACACCACAAGTCAACTACCCTATGTGTCTGCAAGTGGCAGGACATAGTGGTTGCTTAAGCGGCCTTGGAACCTGACAAAGTGCAAATCCTGGTTCTGCCACTTATAAGCTGTGTGGCCTTGAGCAAGGTGGTTACTATCTCCACACCTCTGCCCCTTTAGGCAAATGAGCATATACTATTTTTCTGATAGACTTCTTATGGGCATCTAGTTAATACTTAGAAAATGTGACTATTATTATTGGAGAAATTTTTAATTTTAAAATATATCTAACTAGAAGACTTAGCTCAAACTAAATCAAGGATTGCAGACATTTGGGGGGAGAAAGTGCCAAAGTTAGAGGTAATGAGCAATTGTCTAGCAGCCAAAGGCTGGGTTTAGGTTAGCATTTGTACTAATGAGTTCACCAGACTGGAGTCTGAGTCTCTGCTTTCGTTAACTCACTAAAAACAGACCACTCTTTCAGTGGTGGCATCACAATAAAAAGTTCACAGAAAATGGATTTATACATCAAGTAGAGAAATGTACTGGCTTACAGTAAGAAATTCAGTAATCACTGCAACACAAGTGACCAGTTGGCCTAAGTAAACGGGAAACTGAAGGGCCAGGTGAAGCCTGCTTAGGGGTCATGACTTCAGAGCAAAGGGAGTAACTCAAGTCTTAATACCATCCACCTCATGCCAGTGGATGAATCCAAAGCTCAATGGGCACTATAGGTACCAAAAACCTATAGCACCTGAGTCTGAATGTATGGGCATCCTTTATGCTTGGTCTTAGAATCTCTAGCACATATTGTTTTACCTTTTAAAAAATTACATTCATATTACCGAAGACTCCTTTACCTGGAGTCATTTTACTTTTTCTCCCCTATGTATCTCTGCTATAAATGTTGTAGGTTGGATTCTAGCTTCCCACTAAGGTGACACTCTAATTACTCCATGCGTAAGGCTGTCTGGTGGACCTCACTATTGCTCTGTGACGCCTCAGCAGTAACACGGTGGGGTGGCTACAACACAGACAGTAACCTTAGTCTTCCACTTGCTGGCTCTCTGACTCTGGGCCTCTGTACCTCAGCTCCGTTAAAATGAGGAAAGCAACAGTACCTGCTACAAAGACTGGTTAGGAGGATTAAATAAATTAACATACATAAGACTTAGAAAGTATCTTTCACATCATTAGCACCATGTACATGTTATGTCAATAACAAAATCAACCTTTGACCTCCGAGGCCCACAGGTCCTTTTGGCTGTCAATCATCCTTCAGGTCTGCAGACCAAGTTAGATCCCTTTAAGTAAATTCCCACAAGCTTATTTCATCCCAAGTTTAGTGCCTTTCCTTCTACCATACAAGAAGCTCCACCTAAGTGGGGGTGAGTTCCTGGTGAATTCCAGCAAAAAGCATACATTAAGCTGAAAGATCTTAAAGAGGACTTGATATCAAGTAACATACTTTGGGCTCATGGAGTTTCAGATCACTAATGAATAAGAGGACAGAATGTCACTTTCAGTCATAAGGTACTATGGTTTTAACTGGATTTTAAATATTAATTTATTATTTTACTCTTCATATACAATGGATAAACAATTTGTTTCCAGTGAAGTGGTATTGATATGTAACAACAAATCAAATATTCCTGATAAGTTTTGCACATTCACTATTGAAAAGGTAACTTTCTGATGCCATTGTAAGCTTACCAAAACTGAAGGATTTACTCCCATCGACTTGATAAATAGCATTATTGTCAGTTTTCCAGTAGACTTGGGTAGCCTCACCAAGTTCTTCTTCTCTGAAAGAATAAAAACACTGCATTTTAGCATAACTGGCAACAGCAGTCATGTTATAGGAAGGATCACCTGAAACACTTCATCTTCCAGAGTATTTTAAAATAGGGTAGTAACATATTACATATAATAGGAAACCAACCTCAGAAGGTTTGACTCTCTTAGGCTGGGCTTCAACAAACTCCTTCCTTTGCTCACATCCTCTCCCTCAATCCTGGCATTGAAGGGATAGATTCACAGACCAATCCTGACAATGTTCCCCTTGCTAACACCCTTAAAAACCTTTTGGAACCTTCTGAAATCCTTAGCACAAGGCACAAGATCCCTGGATCATATTCTCTCTTAAAACTCATCTTTCTCTAAATTCCAACACATACCCTAAGCTCTACACAAACCAACCCATCTGAAGGTCTCCCTAAAACCACAGACCTAAGCTGTGTGCGCCTGGAATCCCATGACTTTCCTTTCATCGGAATAACTGGCCTATTCTTCCATTCCCAAACAGTGTCAGCACTTTCCTGACACCAGCCTACTGCATGCACCCAGACTGTCGTCTCTCTGATGAGCTCACGACTCCAGCAAACATCCCTCACCTGCCCATCACAAGGCCTGCCACACGTACTGCACTGATTCCCTTGTGTCGCTGTCTTCTCCCACATGAGCTCCTTACCAACAAGAACTTCTCAGTCTGCACACTGTCAATGATGCAACGCTGAGCGGTGCTGAACAACAATTTCTCAAATACAAAAAACGTTAGCATTCCGGGCCGAGGGCCAGAGGCTAGGGAGTGCAAAGGCTTCATTTATTTCCTTTCCTGCTTCTCCCCGCAGCATACCGTCACCCAACGTTCTGTTTATTTTGTTTCCCCAGTGAAAAGATGAGAGATGAACAGAGAGAGTAACGACCGTGGAGACCGTTCAGCACGCAAACAAAAGTCCATATTCACAAATATTTACTCAATGAAGGGGGTCTTCAGTGCCTGCAGAATGCAACGCGAGCAGCAGACGAGGCCTCGCCCTCAGGGCTCTCGGGGGCAGTCAGACGGCTGTACAATGACTGACGGTGACAGGAAGCCAGTCTCCCACAGGACCTCGCTAGGGCGTGCGGTGGGGCCGGGAGCGAGCAGCCGGGAAAGCCGGCCTTCCCCCTCAGCGAACCCGAATTAGCAGCCTAAAGGGGGTCACGCGGCTGGAATGTGTCTTCTAAATCTCGGATCCTTCCCGGTCACTTTACACACCGCGGCACGAAGCGGGAAAGCGGGAGCGACCGCGGAGCCGGGAAGCCGCGGCTCTGCGAAACGACCGGGTGTCCCAGCCCCCTTACCTGCTGTTGAGCGGCCGCACTCGCACGCAGACGGCCACGGCTGCTTCCTCCGCCATCCCGCCAGGCCGCGTCTCCAAAGGACGGTGAAGACGCTCCGCTTGGCAGGAGCTTCTAGGCCGAGAGCCGCCCCGCCTTCAAGTTTAAAATTTCCCAAACGCCGCGTCCGATTGAGCCGCGGCCTCGTGACGTCACGGCGCGTTCCATCCGCGGCGCGGCGCGGGGGAGCGCAAGGCTGAAGGCGCGCCCACAGCTAGAGGGCGGAGGAGGTAGAAGGGCTTGGAGGAGGCGGTCGCAGGGAGAGAGTTGTCCTGGTAATAGCTGGGATATCATCTGCTGAGACGCTTGGCACCATTCATTCTCCCACTCGCCTAGGAGCAGCTTGCAATATGTATCAGAAATGAGGCAGGTATTTATTTTTCCCGAATAAGGTTACTACCACACTATTAATGAAAAAAAAAAACTCACTGTCCAATTCGTAAACCCAAGAAGTTTGTGCTCCTCAGAAACTTTCAGATTAGGTTTTTTTTTTTTTTTCCTTCTATTACTCCTGTTTCTATTGCCTGTAAGTTCTTAAGAGGCTTAGGGGAAAGAGTTACTAATGAATGGAAAAATTCAGTTAGTGATGTGTTGAAAGTTTTATTAACCGAAAAGGGAAAGTGATCCTAAATAATTCTTTCTCAGAAAGAAGATATAGTTTTCCTTTGTCTTAAATATGTGTCACAGTAAAGAGGTAACATTTTCTTTAGGAGTGATTTCAGTGTCTCCGCTCTCATTTTTGATTGATTTAAGGATCATTTCCTTCACCAAAAATATGGCCTGCACTTTCTAATAATTGTTCATTATTTAGAGGCATCTACTGATTTAGTAAAGCTGTTTTGGAATGTAATTTCACAATATCAATAAAACCAAAGACATATGCTCTTTATGTGGGCAATGCTACTCTTAGGAGTTTATATGTAGGGATTGGTCCTGTGGCGCAGGGTTTAAGCCACACTTGCAATGCTGGCATCCCATATTGGAGTGCTGACTTGAGTTCTGAGTGCTGCACATTTCCAATTCAACTTCCTGCTGATGTGCCTGGGAAAGCACCAGAAGATGGCTCAAGTATTTGGGCCCCTGCCACCCATGTCAGAGACCCAGATGGAGTTACTGGCTCATGGCCCAGGCTTGGCCCACGCCTGGCAGTTGTGGCCATTTGTGGAGTGAACCAGTGAATGGCAGATCTCTCTGTCTCTGTATCTCCCTCTTTCTCTGTTACTCTGTCTTTCAAGTAAATAAGGAAAGAAATCTTTAAAAAATTATATATCTAGATATATTTGAAGAAATCTGTACAATATGCACAAAGACTGCTAATTTCAGCATTGGTTATAGGAACAAATGACAAAACATGTTTAATGCCAATAAATATGAAACAAGTTTAATGGATGGTACCATATCTGTAGCTAGTGGAAATCTTTGTAGCCAGTTAAAAGAATGATGCAGCTCTTTATGTGTGCTTTAGAAAGCTATCCAAGATGTTTCACAAATGGTCCTATTTTATATTTGTAAAGGGTATTTATATGTTTAGCTATGCATACATAGTTTCTAAAAAGATACTCAGAATATGTTTAATTTCCTTATGGAGTGAGAGAATAGACCCATCTTTCACTCTATTATTTTATAATTATTAACACTTTTAACCACATAAATGCTATGTAGTTGCTTTCAATTGAAATAAACTTGTTCATAGATAAGGATAATAAGTAAAAGTGTCTAATCATTCAAGATTTGTTTTGGTTAACCAGCTATGAGCTGTAGAGTCTTTTTTTTTATTGCTAAACTGTGAAGACGTTGGGCTGTAGCTAATAAGATAATATAGTTAATGAAGGTATATTTTAACATTTTTTAGAATTAGTGATAGGCAAATACTGCATAGTTCAAGCGAAGGAGCCTCTAAGGAGGAAGACAGACGTGTAATCATGAACGTCTGTGACAAGATGAGAAGACTGACTCCAGTGCAGAGAAGAGGCACTGGTTGCCCATAGTTGCACTTGCTACCACGGCTTTGTGGTCACCACAACAGGTAACACTGATTGAGGATTTACTCTCTGTACCAGGCTCTCTTTTGCATGCTCTATATCCATGTTTTCATCTAACTTTCTAAATTTATTCATCTTGCGCCAAATAGAGCTCTAGGCTCAGAAGGCTCTACCATGAACTGCATAGACAAATCATTTCCTCTGATAGAGCTGTGAGTTGCCTAGAAGAGATGGATAATGCACACGAATCAATTTCCTTTTTCTTTCTCCATGCTGATGAGTATTGTGAGGAAAATTGAAATGGAATCAGAACAGAGAGTGATAAGATTGGAGTAGTGGTGCTAATGTTTATGAAACATTCTTGTGGCACAAAGCAGAAAATACCAAATAGCCATATAAGTAAAATCTGATGGGAGCAGGAGCCACTTTAGATGGGATGTTCAAAAAAGGCATAGGGAGGTGACCTCTGAGGACATAGCTATGTGATAAGAATTGGCCAAACTTGGGAGGTGGTAAGAGAGACGGCTTACAGAGGGACAAGTTAGTGAAGGAACCCAAGGCTTGCCTGAACTTGTCACATGCCTAAGGTGCAGAAAGGAGGCTCTGTAGGTAGAGCGTGTGGGGCAATGGAGAGAGGTGGGTGCGCCAAGTCCTATGTGGCCTTGAGACTGTGTATAAAACTGTGGTTCATACTCTCATGGTGAGGGGAAGTCTATGGAAGGTTTTAAGCAAGGGAGAAAAATCTCTTAAAACAAGACTTTACCTTTTCACTCTGAAAATGGAAGCTTCTGGAAGATATTCTGCATAAGCTCCTGGCAGCCTATCTACCTACTTGCACCTGTACCAACACCTCTGGCTTCCAGGTTGTAACTAGTTAGATAATGGCTTGTTCTCTACTCTGAGGATGCCTGCATAGGTGCACTACATCCTGTCCCATCCTCTTTATCCGGCACTGTCATTTTCTTGTGTCCTAATAAACGCATCTCATCAGCAAACCTATGACTTGTTTTCTCCCATCTCGTACAACTATTAGATATTGCCGGCTTAAAAAACTTAATACCAAATTCATAATTTTATCCCCCATCTCTGTGTGGTTAGCAGTTTTTAGCATCTCACTTGATGAGGAGCTCATCCTTTCACTTACCTGGGTGATACCCTGCGTTCATGCTACTTAGCTTCTATTCTCTCAAGGTGTGGATTCAATGCACTTGAAAATTCTGTTGGGGCTACCTTCAGAATGTTCCAGAATATGTACATTTATCACCACTTCTGCTTTCCACTGGTCCAAAATGCTATCATCTCTCTGAGCTCATATCTGTTTCTACCCTTGCCACTCCCACTGCCAGTCTGCTCAACATGACAATTTGAGTGATCCTATTCACATATATTAAGTCAGGTCATGTCACTCCTCTCTCAGAATAAAATCCAGAATCTTTCATTGTCTCTCAAGCCTCGTAAGCTTTTGCACCCTTGTTACTCATCTGGCCTTCCCTCCTGTAATTCTCCTCTTTGCTTTCTCCTCTACAGGCACAGAGGCCTCTTGGCACTTTCTTGAATCCTCTCAAAGCCTCTGCATGGGGTATCCTTTCTGACTGGTAGATTGTTGCCCCAGATATCTACATTGGCCTCCTTCCTTTGATTCTAGTCTCTTTCAAATGCCAGCTCTCGAGTTCTCTCTGTATAAAATAGAACTGCCTTGTCTGTCATTTCTGTTCCTTCATTTTCTTCTTTAAAGATATTACTTATGTTTTTCAGAAATATAAGTACCTATGTGTTGATTTAATATACATTATGTTTCCTCCCACTAGAATATCAACTCTGTGCTGTTAATGATGCAGTTTTGTTTTTTTTTTTTAATTTGAAAGTCAGAGTTACACAGAGAGAGGAGAGGCAGAGAGAGAGAGAGAGGTCTTCCATCTATGGTTCACTCACCAATTGGCCACAACAGCCGGAACCGTGCCAATCCGAAGCCAGGAGCCAGGAGCCAGGAGCTTCTTCCCTGTCTCCCACGAGGGTGCAGGAGCCCAAGGACTTGGGCCATCTTCTACTGTTTTCCCAGGCCACAGCAGAGAGCTGGACTGGAAGTGGAGCAGCCAGGACTAGAACTGGCGCCCATATGGGATGCCAGCGATTCAGGCCACGGCGTTAACCCACTGAGCCACAGCTCCGGCCCCAGTGATGCAGTTTTGTTTACTCTTCCTCTGGATCTAGAAAGATGCTTAATAGAGTAAACCTTCAATTAAAAATTGATTACTCAATTGATCAACAGATCATTATTGGCATAATTTTTTAAAAGATATTTGGAATACACATAGCTTCCTTTGGAGGGTGAGAATTGAATTGGAAAATAACCTAGATTGTATATAATTTCATAATCATTAATTCTAGAACCATGTGAATATTAATTAGTTTCAAGTTAAAAAAGTAGTTACTAGATAAAAAAACAAAATATAAAATATATTTATAAAATAGAATCTACTCAGCCAAAATTTGTTTTGGTTATCTGTAAAGTAATATGGACTACTCATTTTTTAATAGTTAAACTGCCAAGGTACTGGACTGCATCTAGTAATTTGGAGTTAAAGGAGGTGTGGTTTGATTTAAAAGGAGTGGTCATGGAAGGCATAAAGATTAAATGACTTGTCTGAAGTTATGGAACTTCTGGAAAGAGAGGGTTAAAATTTGGATGCATACCGTTTTCTCTGGTAGTTAAAATTTTTGTAGATTAAATTTTTCCTTATCTGAAAAATTAAAACATGCCATGATCAAACCATTCAAATAGCACAAGAAGATTCATAGGGAAAAATTTTCTTTGTACATTTGACCCTTTTTAACCCTTTGTACATTTGCCTCTCTGTAGGCAACTACTATTTCTTAAAGTGTTCTCAAAATAATCTACAAAGAGGCACATGTATATGTATCTTTTTCTAGGTTGTATGTCTTTTAACATAAATAGGTACCTGCTATTCTTGCTGTAGTGCACATGGCTTTACATGTGATCCTTATGTAAGTATTTTAATTTAGTTTGGAAGGAAAGTGGATAAGTTAATGGTATACTCTTCCATGTTGATGTTTCAGTTATTATTTTTTTTTTCCTGCACTGTGTAATTTATGTTAAGCTGCAGAGGGCACTGTAATCACAGCAAAAAGCATGGCATA